TGAGTCACCCAGGAGCCTCAGAGTTTGGTTTAGATAAGAACTTGGGTTTAGGATGTTTGCCCTAAGTTCCTGCTTTACTTTTCCCAGACACCATTAGAGTGTCTGGGAAAAACCACTTAGGGTTAAGCCCACAAAAAGTTAGTGATTTCTGCCCCAAACATCTTTTAAGTAGTAGGTGCTTGTCACCATGTTCTCTATCTTGTGCTTGCTGGTCACCTGGGAAGAAGGACTGCCCTTCTCCCTGCTCGGTTGTGTCCCCTCTCTTTCTCTTACACTCACTTTTGTTTTCTTTCTCTCTCTCTCTTTCCTTCCTTCCTTCCTTCCTTCCTTCCTTCCTTCCTTCTTCCTTCCTCCCTCCCTCTTTCTTTCTTTCTTTCTTTCTTTCTTTCTTTCTTTCTCTTTCCTTTTGGTGTGGCTACAGGCTTATTAATTTTATCGGTCTCTTCAAAGAACAGTTTTTTTGATTCATTGATTTTCTCTGTTAATTTCTTATTTCCTATTCCTATTTCCTATTTCTGCTCTAATTATTGTTGTTTTTTTTTCTTCTTCTTTGTATTCGATTTGTCGAACTTAGATTGCTGATTTTAAATCTTTCTTCTTTTCTTTAAATAAAAATTGTAGGGGTGTCTGGGGAGCTCAGTAGGTTGAGCATCTGACTCTGGATTTCGGTTCAGGCCATGATCCCAGGGTTGTGGGATCGAGCTCTACATTGGGCTCTGTGCTGAGCATGGAGACTGCTTAAGATTCTCTCTCTCTCTCTCTCTCTCTCTCTCTCCCTCTCTCTCTCTTTCTCTTTCTCTTTCTCTTCCCTCCCTTTGCCCTCTCCTCCACTTGCATGCTCTCTCTCACTAAAATAAAAAAAAAAGAAATAATGTATATTTGAGTTGGACAATATGATGTTTTGATATTGATATACGTGTACATAGTGAAATAGTTACTACCGTCAAGCTAACACATGCATCTCCTCACAGTTATTCTTTTTTTTTACTTTTTTATTTTCGTGATAAAAGCACCTGAAATCTACTCTCTCAGCAGATTTTCCAGTACACCATACGATGTTATCAGCTATAGTCATGATGCAGTACATTAAATCTCTAGAACTTTTTCATCTTACGTAATAACAACTTTGTACCCTTGACCAGCATCTCCCTTTCCTCCCCCTCCCCACTCCTGGTAACTGCCAGTCTGCTTTCGGCTTCTGTGAATTCAACTTTTTTAGATTCCTCATATAAGTGAAATCACGCAACACTTTTCTTTCTTTTTCTGGCTTATTTCACCTAGCATAATGCCTTTGAGGTGCTCATTTTTGTTGCAAATGACAGGATCTCCCTTTCGAAGGCTGAATAATATTCCATTGTCCTTCTATTCCATAGTTTCTTTATGCATTCATCCATCAACACACACTTAGGTCTTCATTTGTGACATATGCATTCAATGTTATAAATTTCCCTCCAAGCACTGCTCTGGCTGTCATTTTCATTTGTTTGTTTTTTAGGAAGCAGGAAAGATTAACATAAGTGGATAATTGATTAAGTATATATCTCATTGAATAAGAAGCAGTTATGGACACATGTCGACAATGTGTCATATGAGAAGCATTAGGATTGATCTGATTGTGTTCACTAAATTTTATCAAAACTCAAAATGATCTTGTCAATTATTTTTGTGACTACCAAGCAGATAGATGGATGTTAGTATCACTCAGGATTTGTTTCTAAGTCTTTGCATTCACAAATTTTGATGTGTCGTTATAACTGCATAAGTGAATAAAATCCTATCTTAATTATTTAAAATAAGAGACAGCACAGATCAATGAGGAGCATGTTTTATGAGACAATAACAATGATTGATTTGGGTTTTCGCTACTGATGTTTGTAGAAAGAAAAAAAATTCCTGTTCTACTCCCATCTTTGGTAAGGGACATGTATATCATTGCATTGAATAGTATTTCTGTTCTGGATTAATTTCTGTTCTGGTTTACCATTTTGACTTTCTTTATATAATGAGTGTATGGTTAAATCATCCCATAAGTAAGTAAATAAATGATTAAGTGAATAAATAAGTGAGCATATAAGATGGGATCAGGCATGAGTCATCCCACAGAATATAAAATAAAGATTTAAACGTAACCAGTTCTGCAAAGGCAACATCTATTAAAGTTATCTTGTATTCTCTTAACACTATTACGATATAGATACTTTCGATATACTTATTCCTGTGTCGTGTAGTTGACAGTGGCTAATACGTTATTTAAAAGTGAAGGTAAAATGCTAGACTAATGAAGAAGTGCCCAAGTTTATTCTAGTTCCACCTAATTCACATGCATTAAAAATCTAGATTAATTGTACTTTTTCCTTCACAGAATGACCATGAGACAGCAGGTGTATTCATTTTCTAAGAATCAAAATATTGGCAGTTAGCTCTGTATGTAGAGCTAGACAGATGTAGAGACAAGTGTAAGTAACACTCACAGCTCCCATCCTTGGTTGGGATGCTTTGGTTGATGAGTGTTTAGTGGTATAGCAAAAGAATCAATGTCTATAAAAGTAATAAAAATCTCCAAATATGGGCCGGCGATGGGAATATGTCATGAATCAAAAACTACGTTTAATCTAATTTGGCACCAATGAAGTGATTAAAAAACCCGTCATTTCATTCATTTTCAGAAGTATTTAATATTGCAGTTTATTTCCCTCCCCAGAGGACTTAACCATTTCCGTATTGGGATAGTCCCGGCTGATAACTGCTTTGCGTTGCAACCTGTAAGCAAGTAGAATGCTTTGTTTTGAGATGTGAATAAAGATGGTGTGGTGTCATCACTTTTCACTGAGCCATCTTCATGGGGAAATCAGGGGCATTCGCTTTCAAGTGTCCCCTCTCCGAAAGACAGCTTTCATACTGTTCTTCCTTTCTGATCTTCTACTCTAATAAACATCTGCCTGCTGCTCAATTAAATAGAAGAAAGCCACAGAAGGCCAGTGGTGAATGTGGGTTTGGTATGAAGCATGGATATTAACTGACGACACATATTCTCTGAGGTCCATTGTAAAAGGAGATTTAGTCTATTTGCTTTATGGGGAAAGAGCCATTAATGCGAAGATCTTACCCTGGAACTTTATGCTAGTGTTGTATTCATGGATCAATCAGTCAACCAATCAATGAAGATATAAAGGAAGAAAAACGTGCCTGGACCAATGATGAGTACCATGGGGTATCTGAAACAGGAGTTTTGATTAAACCCATATGCAACTCTGAGGTCCATTACAAAGAGACACATAGTTATTTCCCCTCTGCGGGAAAGGAGCACATGTTACCTTTTGTGGTTCTTGGAGATGGATTGTATTTTATTATTATTATTATTTATTTATATGTTTTTTTAGAATTTTTTTTCAAGTCTTTTTTTTTTTTTTTTTCAACGTTTATTTATTTTTGGGACAGACAGAGACAGAGCATGAACAGGGGAGGAGCAGAGAGAGAGGGAGACACAGAATCGGAAGCAGGCTCCAGGCTCTGAGCCATCAGCCCAGAGCCCGACGCGGGGCTCGAACTCACGGACCGCGAGATCGTGACCTGGCTGAAGTCGGACGCTTAACCGACTGCGCCACCCAGGCGCCCCTATTATTATTATTATTTAAAAAAAATTTTAACATTTATTTACTTTTGAGAGAGAGAGAGAGAGAGAGAGAGAGAGAAACAGAGTGCAAGTGGGGAGGGGCAGAGAGAGAGGGAGACACAGAATCCTAAGCAGCCTCCAGGCTCCGAGCTGTCAGCACAGAGCCCGACGTGGGGCTCAAACCCACAAACCGTGAGATCATGACGTGAGCTGAAGTTGGACGCTTAACCGACTGAGCCACCCGGGCGCCCTGGATTGTATTTTTTTTTTTTTTTTATAGAATCGATTCACAAATAAATAAAATGTATCAATGAATGAAAAAAGAGGAAATTTATACGCTTATTAAGGGAAGTAATGCAACATGGGGTAGTCATATGAAAATTTGAAACTCCGACTTCCAAGAAATGGTCATGAAAGGAGTATATGGTCACTTGTACATAATACTCAACAATGTTTGCTGGTTGCTCAAGGGTTGCGGAGGGATTCTTTTATTAAGGAAATGGCAACACACTGACTCTATAATAACCACACAATTGAGAGCCAAGCAGAGGCCAGCGATGAGAATGATTTATATGACAACACTCATCATTACTCTTTTTTAAACTGATTTTCATTAAAACAATAAAAAAGAAGCAAGTATGTTATTGACAGTGGTGACTGTGACCTAAATTTGGCTCAGTCTTCTTGTCCAGTGGATCTGATCACAGATACCTGTGATTTTGTGTAACAGCAAGACGGTGTAATTTTATGTCTCGATCTAGTTTTTAAAAGTCAGCAGACTGTGGACCAATTAGGAACGTGTGTTTTAATACGAGGATACCGATTCATCTTAGTTTGCCAATGACAAATATTCTAGGAACAATTTTAGGCTCTTCCATTTTTTGCAAGGTGCATCTGGACCTTTCCAAGTTGTGGTAATTTGGTTCCGGGCTGGTGTTTGACCATTCTGAGTTTCCGTTAGAAAAATGGTATTGTTATTCCCTGAATAATAAAATAAACCAGTGAGTGAATCCATGAATCTCCATAAGTGCATGTAGTGGAGGACTGGGAGATTGTGCCAGGAAACAAATATGTTAAATTCTACACAGCCAAGTCCAATAAAAAGATGATCGCGGCTTTCCCTATGTAGGTAGCAAAGAAAGTCAGATGTCTCTGATTGTTAATAGTTTTTATTTCGTGTTGAGCGATGAATTCAATAGTATTCCTATCAACTAGTAGAAGCTTAACTCAGTAAGAGTACCACCCTTGAGAAATTGGTAAGAATGTGATATGAAGTAGGGCTTCTGATTAACGGTTCCTCTTGGCACATTTCAATTTAAAAAAGCGCACTCTGTCTTCATTGTTTTTACAGATTGGCTTCCCTCCCCCCTTTTTCCTTTGTTCATAGAATGAACACACAGCTGATTTAATCGTTCTATGATCGTGAAGACATGGCTGTGAATTCTGGGACTGAGAAACATAAAGACCGAGGTAAGTAAATATCAGTGTTTGCGTTTAAGGCTTAGATGGGGTTTATTTATGGGAGCCCACTCAATTATTTCAATAAAGTAAATAGTTAAACAGTGTAGGAAATTCAGGCATGCCAGTCATGAGCCCCAAGTCTAGAATGTGTCACAAAGTAAAATTTATGATTACTTTGATTCATCCCAACTAAGAGCCGTTGCTGAAGTGATGGGGGGCCTCTCACACATTCTCAAAGCAGTCTGCCTTCTCAACTCATGTCCCATTTGCCTAAAACATACCTTCACTGGGGAAGATGTTAGCTGTTAACTCTCTGAGGCTGGAGCACCCCGAAAGATGGCAGATGTCAGTTTTGTCAGTTGTGGGTTAAGATGACAGGTCTGTGGGTGTTGATGACACTAGCTTTACTGTATGGGCAAGTCAAGGGAGAAAGGAGAAGGTGGTCACCAGTCCCTAAGTAAGGGACTGATATGAAGGGAGCGTCCTGACTAATCCCTGTGTGCAAAACAGAGGTTCACTATGAAAAGCGAGTGACCGTTCGCTTTCCATGAATGGGGGCGGTGAGCAGATCTCGGTTGGATGTAAGCCTTTTGTTCTCAGTGTTGTGTCATTAAAGGGTATTGAGTGTGTAATTCGGATTCATGAAGCTATGAATGAATCCTTGCAAGAAGGCATAAATGAACGAAGAACTCGGAAGCTGTGCCCAGATCAATGATGAGTGTCGGTGGAGTTACCTGAATCAACACCTTTGATAAAGTCCTCTGTGTAGCTTTGAGGTCCGTTACAGGAAAAGAACCAGTCAATCTCCTCTGTAGAAATTAGCTAATAGTGGAAGTTAGGAAAATTCAATAAGCTTGCCCCAGGCTTTTGTGGTTCATGGATACGGATTATGTTATTTCAAGTGAATCAATGCATGAGTAAAGAAAGAAATGAATACATGAGATGCTAAAAGCCTCCTCATGGAGCAATTAGCAGAGTGCAGCAAACGCTGTTAATATCGAAACGATTCTGAAGGAAAACAGCAAGGCTCACGCGGTAATCCTCTTTTATATGGAACATACTAGTATCTGCAGTTAAGACCCAGTGTCTTGAGTGTCTGTAGTTTGCTGGGGAGTTTTTAAGCTAAGAAAAGGGGAAGTGTTTGCATCAGTCAGTAATCTATGAGATAACCGTCTCTTAACCGGCGTTGACACAGGTGGAGATTTGTAATCGTTATAGCTCTTAATCTTGGGCTAGGTGTTGGACTTGATCGTGTTTATTGTATCATTTATAAGTAAGAATTCCATACGGTTTAATAAAGAATAGGATGCTGGAGCCAAAGTTTATTGCTATCTAGCTCTGCCTGATGAACAGCCATTAAACATTTTTTTGAATGTAGCCTTAGTCGGCTTTTTCTTACCCAGAGTGAACAACAGCATAGCTGACTCAGTCATTTAGTAAGGAGTTATTGTAGTGAACCAGGAGCATGAAGAATAATTTAAGTAAGTCCCTTAGTTTACATTCTTTGTTTGGATGGGTTGTTCACGGATGTCACCTGAAGAGTTTCGAAGCAAATCATTGTGCACCACACACACACAAATAGATAAAACACTCCTAAGTATGGATCAATGATGGGAATGTAGTATAGACCCAAAATTATGTGTAATCTAAATCAGCACCGCAGAGGTAATTTTAGAAGAAAATATAATGTTATTTAATTTGTTTTCAGAGCAGTTTCATATTATTTCTTTCTTTACGTTTATTAGCTCTGCAGGAGAAAAGCCTAAAATTCAAGGATCTTGTTTTTGGGATTTTGTGATTGGGTTATTATTATTTGTGAATCAGAAAATGAATCAATAAACAAAAAAAATTTTCCTAGCATGGACCAGTGATGAATGTCATGGGGTTTCTGAAACAAGAATTTTGATTAAACCCATCTGCAACTCTGAGGTCCATTACAAAGGAACACCTTATTATTCTCTTCGTGGGAAATAAAAGCCTTCAGCATCTCATTCGTGGGCTTTTGTGGTTTGGGGTATGAATTGCATTATTATAATACAATTAGCCCATGAATAAAGAAATACATCAATGAATAAAGAATAAGAAGGATATGCATGCACTACTTTTAGGGCACACAATGAAACAGAGATCATTATTACAACAATTTTGAGATTCTTAGCCCTAATAAATTAGCAGTTAAGGCTTTTATCACTTTGGTGAGGGGCATATGGTCAACTGTGCCTAAGAGTCAATGGTTTGTTCTGTGTCGAGGCACATTGCGAATTGATCATTCTATTAAGGAGAGGAAAATACGTTTACATAAAGAGTTGATTGAATAAACTATCTCATTGAGAGAGAGAGCATGGTGATACTGTTTCATACGGCCACACTCATGATTAATGCAGTCTTCTTAGGCAGTTTTGTGTAAGCAAACAAACACTAAAGAATCAGTTCGGTATTCTTCCGGGTAATGACATAAGGACAAATGTAAATATTATTCAAGGTACTTCTCCAGTGTGGGTGGGCTGACACATATTGAAGTATAATTATAAGTGAACAAATGCATATGCATTTAGATCTCAGTGTTTTTTTAAGTCAGCCAACAATACATTAAAGGAAAGCATGCAGTTGTATTTAAAGATCATGATGTGTCATGTTTTACCCAACTCGTATCCATAGGAAGGAAAAGAGTTCTAAGCCTTTCTGCTGGTGCATGTAGACATTTGTAAATAGTGAGCATTTTGCTTCTGTTTTGATGGTTGTTTAATTTTGGGGATTCTTTTAGAAAAATGAAGGGATGATCTTACTATCCCATGAGTAATTAAATAGGATAATTAGTGAGTGAATTAATAAATATATTAAGTAGGGTCAGATTTGGATCACTGGTGAGATTGTGCCCTGAATGGAATCTCCCAGGTATCCAGTGCTGCACAAATAAATTTCTTTCTTTTTTTTTCTGGAATAAAGTTTTTAAATATGCAATTTATTGTCAAATTGGTTTCCATACAACACCCAGTGCTCATCCCAACAGGTGCCCTCCTCAATGCGCATCCCCCACCCCCCATGAACCCTCAGTTTATTCTCAGTTTTTAAGAGTCTCTTATGGTTTGGCTCCCTCCCTCTCTAACTTTCTTTTTTCCTTCCCCATCCCCCATGGTCTTCTGTTAAGTTTCTCAGGATCCACATAAGAGTGAAACCATATGGTATCTGTTTTTCTCTGTATGGCTTATTTCACTCAGCATGACACTCTCCAGTTCCATCCACGTTGCGACAAAGGCCATATTTCATTCTTTCTCGTTGCCAAGTAGTATTCCATTGTGTACATAAACCACATCTTCTTTATCCATTCATCAGTTGATGGACATTTAGGCTCTTTCCATAATCTGGCTATTGTTGAAAGTGCTGCTATAAACATTGGGGTACAAGTGCCCCTATGCATCAGCACTCCTGTATCCCTTGGGTAAATTCCTAGCAGTGCTATTGCTGGGTCATAAGGTAGATCTATTTTTAATTTTTTGAGGAACCTCCACAGTGTTTTCCAGAGCGGCTGCACCAGTTTGCATTCCCACCAACAGTGCAAGAGGGTTCCCGTTTCTCCACATCCTCTCCAGCATCTATGGTCTCCTGATTTGTTCATTGTAGCCACTCTGACTGGCATGAGGTGATACCTGAGTGTGGTTTTGATTTGTATTTCCCTGATGAGGAGTGACATTGAGCATCTTTTCATGTGCCTGTTGGCCATCTGGGTGTCTTCTTTAGAGAAGTGTCTGCTCATGTGTTCTGCCCATTTCTTCACTGGATTATTTATAAATTTCAACAAAAAAGATGATCTTGGCTCTTACCTACATGGGTGGCAAGTACAGACAGATATTCCTGATAATTTTTTTTCTGTTTACTGCTAGGTTCAGTGGTGGTCATTATATTATTTAAAATAAAAAAATTCCACAAATTAGTAAATATTAAGTAGAGCTCTGTCTTTCCAATGTTTAGGAAAGTATGCAAACTCAGGTTTATGGTTACTTGATTTTTGATCATTTAGGATAGTTAAATGTAGACTGATTCTTTTTAAAGTTTGCTTTTTACTCCTCAGAATGAACACACTCTACCAGATTTGATTATTATCTCATGGTGAAGATCTTGCCTTTTACCTCTTTGGGAAAGACAGAAGAGATAAGTGTAAGCAATAATCAATGTTCATGTACTGCTTGCGGGGCTTAGTCACGGGTATTCATTGAGATGTTTGGAAAGAGTAAGTGGCCATATACATGGACAATTCAAAGGTGATCTTGCATTGACCGAAGACTAAAATGTGTTTATGAATTCAGAATTACGATTAATCCATTCCAGCCATTACTGAATTCATTAGGACAAAGGATGAAAGGCATGTTAGCAATTTTCAAAACATTTTAATATTCCATTTCATTTTTGTTCTACGGTGGATTCAAACACTTCTCCACTGGTTGATATTATTATTGACTGTGAACCCGGCAAGGGCGGGGAACCATAGGAAAATGGAAAATGTTGCCTTTTCCTTAGTTGTGGTACAGAATGGCAGTTCACTGTACCATCTTTGAAGTATGGATGTTAGATGAAAGAGGCCCAAGCAGGGACCAATGGACTAATGGAATTAGGTCCCTTGGACTAATTCCAATGACTAATGGAATTAGGATGATGCCAAGAAATGGATTGATTCACATTGGCAATGCTGCGGTGCATGGCACAAGGAGAACTAGTCTTGTAGCTCTGTAGGAAGTAAACTTTCATGGACTTCATCTCTTCAAGGATGTTGGTCTTATTTTCCTAACTCTTGCACGTTGACCATATTATTAATGAGTCAAGGAATAAGTCAAGAACAATATATTAAGTGAAGGCACAGAATACCAAGTCTGGATCAATGATGAGTGTGCGTGGGGCATCTGAATAAAATTTTTGATTAAACCCAGTCTGTAACTCTGAGGTCCATTGCATCTATGGGAAATGTGCTTATAGAGGAAGTTAGAAATAGTCAAGAATCGTGTTCTTGATTTTTTTTGTTGTTGTTCACAGATAGGGATTGTATTATTATAAGTTAATCGATGGATGAATGAGTAAAGTTTAAGTGAAGAGATGGGTTGTACCTTATTTAATTATGAGAGGAGCTAATGAACCAAGGATTACTGTTAATATAACTTTTTGGAATTTTGAGTTAAAATAAAATGGTATAAGGCTGCTCCTCCTTTGGGAATGTATATATAGATATTTGTGAACATCAGTGTTGTTGTTCTGAAGTGGCAGTGAGTTGGTGGCCTATCTCATTTTAAAAAGGGACAAAAAACTCATATGATTACATAGCAATCAGCAATACGTAATATAATACATGTATTCCACTGTAATAGAGCAAATCATGATAAACCCATTAGTGTAAAATGAGTTTTAATAAGCAATAATTTAATACAATCAATAATAAAAAATAAAAGACATTATTCAATAACTGTTGAAACTTAGAAAAGGTCTAAGCATGAACACCAAGAAGGTGAATATAGTAATTGTGTTCATTGATTTTTATTTAAAAAAAAGTAAATGTGTTTTGTTGATGATTTCTGTGAGTGAAAAGCCAATGGATACATTTAGTATCACTCAGCCTTCTTGGGAAGTATCCTTAGGGCTCACCATTATCGGTGCTATTATTATTAGTGAGTAAAAGAATGATTTTATATCACCATCTGTTATCTAAAAGAACATAAATCATAGGTCAGTGAGGAGCATATATAATGTATAAAGGAGCATGACTAACTCTGTTTTACCCTCTTCAAGTCCATGGGCCCCTCCTTCTTTGGGGAAGGATCATATAAACCCACTCTCTAAAGTACATCTTGCTGTCAACACTTAAATCCAAATTAATGAAAAATAAAAACTCAGTTCCTCAGCAACGCTAGTCACATTTCAAGCCCTATGTGACCAGTGGCTACCACACTGAGTAGTGCTAATAGAGAATGTTTTGATCACTGCAGCAAGTTGTACCAGTGCAGACAGTGCTGAGATAGAAAGTTGTATGTAGTAGTATTTAGTTTTGGGGAGTTGATGGCTCTACCACTTTGTGTTTTTTGTAGGCAAAAAAAGAGTGTCTAATTAAATTATCCTTAGAGTTATGTAAAAAGTGAGTACATAGATTAATCGAAAAACACAAGAATTAAAGTACAGTACGGCTCATTGGTCAGATCGTTTCATGAAAGAAGAATTTAAATTCAACCCATTTTGCTAACGTTTTCTCACTGAATGACTCTGTGGACTTTTTACTATTTGGTAGGTTATATAGACAGATATCCATAATAGTTATAGTTCTTTTAGTGTTGGGCAGAAGATTATAAAAGGTCTTCATTGTATTAATTCCTACCAAAAATTGAATAAGTCAGTAGGGGCAAAGGATGATCTTGTTGTATTGATGAAAATGTGGCACAAACCAATATTTATGATTAATCTACTAATGCAGAACCAATTTCTATTTAAAAATCTAAATGTATACTTTTTATTCTTTAAAAAAATCTATCTTATCCTCCTGAACGAATACTCCACATTGGATTCAGCCATTGTCCAATGAAGAAGCTCTTGACTGTTACTTCTGTGGGTAAGGGGCAAATAACAATCAAAGTTTGTGCTTGGTTTGTATGGTTTGTTCACGTGTGGTCACTAAGGTAGTTGAATAGAACAAAAGGCTATACACACGAAAAGAAAATCTGAGAACACCAAGTAAGGACCAATGGTGGGAATGTGTTCTGGGCCAAGGAGTAGAAGTAACCCATTTCAGCACAACTGAGATGCATTTTTTGTTTTTAAAGATGGAAGGCATGTACTTGATTTTTGGAACTGTTTGCTATTCCGTATTGTTTCTAAACACAGTTGATTTAAGCGTTACCATTTTGAGAGAGATCCAGGTTATATTAACTGTTTAGAAGAAGGAAGCTATCAGAAGGTGGAGCATATTGTGTGTGTTCTAGAAAAACCATTGTGGTTTTTTGTTGTTAATTACACCGCGCTTAAAATTGGACAAATTAAAACATGGCCCAATCCTGGGACATTTTTAATGATGGTATTGATACAAAGCAAGGTTCACACTAAGATCTAGGCTAAAAGCTCTGTGGGAAATTGGTCTAGAGACCGATCATAGTACTAGCAACTATCTTGTTCCAGGAGTTGGTAATTCCTGGGAAAATGAAGATAGAAATGAATGAAGAAAAAGAGTGCCAAGTCTGGACCAATGATGAGATTGGAGGGTGTCTGAATCAAAAACTTTGATTAAAGCCATCTGTGACTCTGAGGTCCATTATTTAAAAGTGGCCTCATATTTTCCTCTATGGAAATGAGCTTAGAGCAGAATTTCTGAATGTTTCAAATACCTTGATCATGGGTATACACACTTTATGGGAATAGCTTGAATTCTTGTAAGTAAATCATGAGTGAATACATGAAGAAATATATAAATGAGTAAATATAAAGAAACCTGGGTATAGGCCAATTATGAGAGTAGGTAATGAAACTGGGATTATTACACGTTTCTGAGGCATTGAATTCCAGTGAAATCTATTTGTAAGGGCTGTTGCCCCCTTTTTTGGAAGGAGTGGGTAGACAGATGCATGTAAGATTCAGCATCTTTGTTTGATATAGGTGGTTGCCTGCTGGTTGGTTGTTTGTATTTAGAAAAGGAAAAATTGCATACATAAATAATTCATTAAATGTTTAATTGGAAAAAGAATGAGCATAGTTCATATTAGAATGTGCCTTATGAACAGAGTTATTATTAATGTACCTCTGTTCATTGAGTTTTATTAAAAACAAGGAAAAAGATCTCATGTTTAAAGTTCTGTGGCTAATGTAGTAGACCTGTAGAGACAAAACAATGCTATTCAGATTTCCTGTCTAATATTAGTTAATTTCCAGATATTGATGAATTGTTACATTTGAGTGGATTAAATGCTAATCACAGTTTTTAAAAGGGGGCAAAATGTGGCCCAGTAAGAAGCAAAAATAATCCTTATCTATACTTCTGATCCTCTGTTCCTAACTTGGTTATGGGCATGTAGTCACTTGTACATGAAGAGCATTTCTATTCTGGGTTGTTCATGGATTTACTATTTTGTTTGTGTGTGTGTGTATAGGTGTGTATGTTAGTATACTTGAATGTATGATCAACTATTCCACAAGGCACTCCATAAATGAATAAATAAAACAATGAACAATTGAATTAACATATGAGTAGGGTGAAAGCATAGATCTTGGTGACAATATGCCATGAGTCACAAATTTAATGTCATCTATTTCTACACAAATTGAGTTCTTCAAAAGGATTGTCTAGGCTCTTGCCTATATGGATAAGGGGTGTGTAGACAAATATGTGCAATAGTTTTTATTTTTATGTGATGAACTCAACAGTGTTCATTGTATTATTTAAAATTTATAGTTAAATAAGCAAATTAAAAAAGGAGTGATGTTCTTGGATCAGTGATGACAGTGAGAAGTGAATCAGCTTCCTGATTAATTTTGTACCACACAACTGTTGTCCTTTAAATCAATCTAAATCTGGACTGTTCATTCTTTCGAATATTGACACTTGACTCCAGAATGGAGACCATGGCTGATTTAACCAGTCTCTACTGATGAAGATCTTGGCTGTTATCTTTCTGGGTAAGGAACCTAATGACTAAAGTAAAGAAGAGGCAAAAGATCTTGTCAATTGGGGTGAATTTTTCATTAGTGTTCACTGAATTATTTAAATGAAGTCATAGAGAAATCAGTGATATGAATGTGCTATGAAGCAAAGATTATGATTAACCTGATTCAGTACAATTGGGGTTAAAAATAAGACAGAAGACATTTTATTCATTTTCAAAGTAGATTAATAATCCATCTTATTTTTGCACTGCGTCTGGCTTCAACTTGTATCCAGTACTAAAATCTACGACTGCACTGTTGAACGTGGTTGTCCCTAGCCACATGTGGCTATTTAAATCTAAAATAATTAAAGTCCAGTGAATTTTAAATTCAGCTCTTCAGTTGCACTAGCCCCATTTCAAGTACCCAGTAGCTACATGTGGCTTATAGTGACCATATTAGAGAATGCAATATAGCGTATTCGTATTCTGATGCAAAGTGTTATTGGCTAGCTCCTTGGTGAAGGAGTACACAGAAAGATGGCAGACGGTTGGAATAAGATGCAAGGATGTTAATTAACCCATACATACCTCACTGAGGGCCACTACTAAGGATATTTTTAGTTTATTGGAAAAGAGTCTGTAAATAGACCTTGGTCATATCCAAGGATCTTGTTCTTGTTTTTTTTTTTTTTTTTTTTTTTGAAGTCATGGACATTGATTTTATTACTGTTGATGAATCACTGTTGATGGATCAATGAATGGATCCATAAACAGAGGTATAAATGAAGAAAAAAATGGATCAATGATGAGTACCCTGGGGTGTCTGAAATCAAGGATTTTGATTAAACCCTATAACTCTGAGGTCCATTACAAGAAGATTCCTCTCTTTGGTCTCTATGGGAAATGAGTTTATTCTAGGAGTTAAAAATACTCAGGAGTTTGCTCTTGGGCTTTTAAGTATTGTATTTTCAGTAAATCAATGCATGAATAAATCAAGAAACAAATAAATGAATAAAGACAAAATGGGTTATTTCTGGTCCAAATAGGAGAGTATGTAATGTAATATATATAATATAAAAATCAATGTTAATAAATATCTGGAGCACTGCGTTCCAGTAAAATAAATGGATTAAAGCTGACCCTTTTGGGTAAAGAGAATTTAGATAAATGGATGTAAGAACCCATGTTGTTTTGCTGGATTGGGTTGTTGTTTTTTTGTTTTACTAAAAGAGCAAAACATGTACTTAAAATTAATTATCAATTAAATAACTACGTAATTGAAAGAGGGCTTACACATGGACTTTTGTTGAGAATGTGTCACATGGCCAGTTACAATTAATCCAACGATCTTCACTATGTTTTTAATTAAAAAAAAAAAAAAACAGGAAAAAATCATCTGATCTTTTTCTGTGCCTAAGGAGCATATGGACAGGCATTAATATTGTCTTGTTTCTGTGGATTCACAAATATTAATGATATTATTAAAAATGAATAAAAGAACAAGTAAATGTATTAATCAATTATTTGAAAGAAGACAAAGCATGGACCATGAGGAGCATGTGTTCTGGAACAAGGAGAGTGATTAATCCAGTTCTACCAAACTGCTCTCCAGATAAAGAAAATAAGACTTATGCTCTTAGATTTTGGGAATGGTGAATATGCTTAGATTGACTTTCTTTTTGTGGCTTGGTGCAATTTCTTTAAAACAGCACAAGATAAGTGACTTCATATGTGACTATGTTAATACATACCTATAGAAAGGTGGGACAAGCGTGGGCAATTGCTGAGAATGTGCCTGAATCTAGGATTCAGATTAATATAGTTCTTTCCAAGCAAGATTCGTTTAGAAGAAAGATATAGCTCTTGCCTGGCTGAGGAGGGGGCGTATAAACAGATAGGAATGGTTGTCGTGGTTCTTATTATTTTTAACTGGTGTTGGTTTCCAAGGCATTCATTATATCAGTTAAATTTAATGCTTGAATCAATCAAGCAATAAATATGCTATTCAGAGTTTTAATACATAATGAGCACTAAGGTTTATTTCTAATCATTTATTGTTGACTTGAACGCGATTAAAATATTGGAATCTAGACTGTTCTATATCTATCGGTCCACCTATCATCTACATAATTGAACCTTTTTTTTTCATATTTGCTTTATACTCTACAGAATGGATGAACGATGAATCAATTATGGAGTATAGAAACATGTAAGTAACAGTCAAGGTAATTGCTTTTGGCTTGGTGGTTTGTCATGGGTGTTAACTCCGTTATTGAAAGGGAATAAATGGCTACATATACTAATAAAATGAATGAAGGTCATGTGTGGGCCAGTTGAGCACATCTGTGGTCAATTAAGGAGAAGAAAGCAAAACGATTTTATTCATTTTCACAGTTAATTATTCAATTAATGAATGGAAAACGTATTATTCGATTTGGATTTTGAGTCACAGTTGATTTAAAACTCCCTTTATTTACAGAGGTGTAGTTTGGTCACAGTGAAATAGTAAAATGGGGTGAATATGAAGTATCATATTAATCTATACAGGAAACATTGTGGACAACTAGTGAAAGATACATATCAGGGAGGTCGGGGGGGATGTAATTCTGTACAGAAATGTTAGAGATATCCAAGGATCTTGTCTCAAGTTTACATGACCTTTAGGCATTTTATTATTATTAGGGAATTGATGAATTAATCACTTAGACATGTACATATGGCTGAACATAGTGAAGGCCAATCCTGGACCAATGATGATGATTGGTGGAGTATGAGTCCTGGATGGTGGATACTAAGAAACTGGAACTCTGAGGTCCAGCACGATACGAAATCTGGTCTATACCTTCTATTGGAAATGATCCAATGGACAGATGCTAAGAATATTTAAGGTTCTTGTTCTCAGTTTGTGTGTTCATGGAATTTGATTCTATTATTGTGAAGGGATCAACAAAAAGAATCAAACAAGTCCATAAATAAAGCAAGAAAGTGAAGCCTTGTCCAGTTATGAAAATATATGGCAACGTCAGAAATAATATTTATATATTGAAAACACTGAATTCCATTAGGAAGTAAACGTCCTAAAGGTATTATCTCTTTGGCTAAGGTTAATATATGTACGGTGTAAATAATAGCCCATTTTCTTGTTTGGTCAGGGCCTTGTTCAATGTTGTTTGTTATCTCAAGAAAAAAAGCATCACAGTTTAATACATATCTAAATGACAAGTTAAATGCAAGGAGGCATGTAAGGATAATGGATGGAGAGAATATTTCAGTCTTTTTATCATCTGTTTTTGTACTCTCAGAATGGATGTGCCAGGCCAGTTGAAGCATCTCCATGGTCATGAGCTGTTTGTTGCCTAGGAGCATAGAGACCAGTGTGAGTATCGTCAAATCTTGGTCTTGGTCTGAGAGGTTTTTAAAGGTCCAAGAAGGCCAACCATGGACTAGTGTAAATACGGCATTGCCATGAGCAGTGTGTTGACGATGGCAAAATTCAGAATGATTAATGAGAGATATCATCAATGTGTTAAATGATCCTGTAGGTAGATATTACAGATACTTAAGACTGTTATTCTTAAGGTTTTGTGATTCAGAGTTATTTACTTAATTATTAATGAAATGAGGAATTAATCAATAAGCAAATGTGGAAACGAGTGGAGAAGAAGAGGGCCAGTTCTGGACCAATGATGACCACTGGTGGCGTATGAATCATGGATGATGAATATTACGTGTCTGAAACTCTGAGGTCCAACCAATAAGAAATATAGTGTGTTCCTTCTGTTGGAAATAATTCCGTGGACAGATGTAAGGAGTACACAGGATTTTGTTCTTTTCCTACATGTACATAGTTTTGATTTCATATTTATAAGTGGATCAATGATAGAACCATAAAGAAATATATAAATCAGTAAATATAAAAAGAAGAAGCATTGTTAAACTCCAAAAAAAAATGTGGTGAGGCAAGAAATACTATTAATCTGAATTGAAATCACAGAAGTCCATTAAGAATTAATGGACCAACTGTGTTATCTCTGTGCAGGGATCATACAGGCACTGATTAATCATGGTCACTTTTGTTGCTACAGACCAGTCTCATGGGTGAGGTTGTTCATTTTGTTAAGGGGAGAATGTGTAAATATTATGAAAAAATAATAATCAAATGAATGAGTGAATGAAGTGTGAAAGCAAGGCTGAATGGAGAGACTGTCTCAATTTTTAAAATCATTTCTCCTGCTTTGTACTCCTCAGAATGGATGCAGTTAAGCTGATTCTCTGTGGTTGCCTCCATTGTCAGGAACACAGACACTAATGTGAGTAATGGTTACAGGGGTTTTAGTTTGAATGGTTACTTTTTAAAAAGTGCCTTAATAAGATGTATTTTGTACGAGCAGAGAAAGCCAACTGAGGCCCAATGATATTGGGTATATATATGCTATTATATGAGACAATGTGTTGATAAACCATGTATGACACATTGAAGATAATTAATATAAGAAATATACTGATGTGGTAAGTGATTGTATGGGCGGATGGAAGGACATTTGATAGTATAAGGCGGATGGAAGGGACATTTAGTTCTTTTTATTTATTTTTTTAATTCATAGGTATCTGTTTTATTATCACCAGGGAATTGGTAAATTAGTTAATAAATATTGATGGCAATGAAGAAAAAGAGGCCCAAGCTTGGATCGATGATGAGGCTGGTGCCGTATGAATCACGCATGATGAATGATACGTGTCTGGAACTCTGAGGTCCAACACATAGGGAAATCTAGTCTACTGCCTCGTTTGTTAATGATCCTATAGGCAGATGTTAAGAATATACAAGCATCATGTTCTTGGCCTCTGTGCACACGGATTCTGGTTCTGTTATTATTATTGGCTATATTAAAATTATAACTAGCCAATAAACAAATAGAAATAAATATGAATAAGCAAAACATTGGCGAATTATGAAAATGTGTCACGAAGGAAGAGAATCTATTAATATATGTTGAAAACACTGAGCTGCTTAAGAAGACATGGTTCAAAGGTGTTACTTCTTTGGCTAATGATGATACAGGAAGTACAAGTAACCATCATTGTCCCTGTTCTGGCTCAGTGGCAAATTTGACGTTCGCCTTTTTTTTTTTTTTTTAATGTTTATTTATTTTTGAGAGACAGAGTGTGAGTGGGGGAGGGGCAGAGAGACAGGGAGACACAGAATCCGAAGCAGGATCCAGGCTCCGAGCCATCAGAGCCCACGCGGAGCTTGAACTCACGAGTGTGAGATCATGACCTGAGCCGAAGTCGGCCGCCCAACTGACTGAGCCACCCCAGGCACCCCCGATATTCACTTTCTTAAGAGAAATATTAATACATATTACCACCAAATAATTAATACCTAAATTACTCACTAAATAAGAGGTTAAATGCAAGGATTGCATAGAGAGGTGGAGAGATTGTGTCTCAGTTTTTTGTTTTGTTTTGTTTTTTTTGGTTTATTTTTCTGTTCTGTCTGCTTTGTACTTCTCAGAGTGGGCACATCAAGGTGATGAAAGCCATCTGCCATGGTTACAGGCTCTATATGTAGGAGATGGAGACCAGCGTGAGTATAAAGTTCTTATCTTATTTTTGCTGATTTGTTTAGCATGTTGACTGTAATATTAAAAATATTTAAATATATAAAAAAAGCCAGCCCCATGATAAATATGAAATTGACATGAGACATTATATTGATTAACCAGTGTTTGCAACATGGTAGATGATTGATAAAATATATATTCAAGGAGGTGGCAGTGATTCTATGGACAGATGTTAGGGATACTTGGGGGTCTTATTTTCAAGTGTTTTTGATTCATAGATATTTTATAGTTATGGATTTATTGATAATCACTGATAAATGTAGAAGTGACTGAAGAAAAAGAGTGCCAGTTCTGGACCAATGATGACCACTGGTGGCGTAGGAGTCATGGATGATGAATACTACGTGTCGGGAACTCTGAGGTCCAACAAAATAAGAAATCTAGTCTCTTTTCTCTGTTGCAAGTGACCATATCGACAGGTGTTAGTAACAGACAAGGATCATGTTCTTGTTCCTTGTATTCATGGATTTTAATTCTTTTAGTATAGAGAAGTGAAAGAATCAATAATCAAATACAAATAAACATGAATAAGGAAAGGATTGTAAAATATGTAACTTAAGAAATACCTAAGTGGTTGAGTAAATGAAACGTGGAATGCAAAGCCAAAGAAAATAAGGTCTAAGGGTTTTTTTTTTTGTTGTTTTTTTTTTAATATCACCTTCTGTGTTTTGCACTTCTCAGAGTGGATGCCCTGGAGCTAATTTAAGGATTCTTCCATGGTCACAAGGCGTCTGCTTGTCTCTGTGTGTTTGGTGTATAGAAATGTGAGTTTTTATGGGTATATACTTTGTATTTGAAAGTTATGAAATATAATAAAAGAAAGCCACCCATGGTCCATTGATAAATATGGAATTGATATTGCATTGCATTATATTGATTAATCCCCATATGAAACTTTGAGGGTGATTAATCAAGAACATATATTGATATAGTAAATGATTGTATGGACAGATAGGACTATTCAAGGCCTGTAGTCTAGGGTGTTTTTTTTTTTTCTTTTTTTTTACTTATAGGTATTTATTTTATTATTTATTACTTGATGAATTAATTAATAAAAAAAGGTAGATAAACATGGAAAAAAAGGCCAAGGGTGGACCAATGATGATGGCTGGTGGCGTATGACTCATGGTTGATGATTACGTGTCTGGAACTCTGAGGTCCAGCGTAAAACGAAATCTAGTTGATTATCTCTGTTGGAAATGATCCTATAGACAATTTTAGGATTTCACAAAGATCTTGTTTGGGGGTCCTTATGTTCATGAATTTTGATTCTATTGTAGTAAGTGAATCAACAAAAAGATCAATATAGAAATATATATAAAAGAAGATGAAGGGGTGAAGCATTGTACAGTTATGAAAAATGTAGTAAGACAAGAATAAGAGAGAAATAGTTCAAGGTGTTACCTCTAGATAACGATGTTATAGATAATATAAACAATGGCCAATATTCTTGTTCTGGGTTAATGGAAAGCTCAATGTTTTTCTCGATAAAAAGTAAAATGCATATTACCCCAAATTAATATACAGCTTAATTACCGGGTGATGAAATGTAGACACAAGGATCAATAGAGAAAATGTATCAATCATGTTATTATCTACTCTGCTTTCTACTTTTTAGAATGGACACATCCAAGGTGGTTTAAATAGTATGCCTGTAGGAACATGGAAACCAACGTGAGTAATAGTCAATGTTTTCATCTCACTTTGGGTGGTTTCTTTAGGGTATTCTCTGTAATATTTAAAAAAAAGTATTCAATATAAGAGAAAAGACCAGTCATGACCCAGTCATGAAATTGGAAATTTATGAAACATGATGATGAATCTACTTGTACAACAATGAGGATGAATAATGGGAGGCATTTTAACGAGGCAATGATTCTAAAGAAAAATGATAGGGATACCGAAGGCCCTTGTCCTTGGGCTTTTGTGATTCATAGTTAGTTACTTAATTACCGTAGTGAACTGATGAGTTAATTTTTAAAAAATGTATATGCGAATAAAGAAAAAGAGATCCAAGCGTGGACCAGTGATGACAGCTGGTGGCGTATGAGTCATATACGATGACTGCTACGTGTCTGGAAGTCTGAGGTCCAACACGATTGATGTTAGGAATATACAAGGTTATTGCTCCAGTAACCATGGATTCGCGAATTTCTGTATTATTAATATAAATGAATGGATCAATGATAGAACCAATAAATAAATCTATAACTAAATAAAACCATGGACGCAGTCTTACCAACCAAGGATATATATGTAGTGAGGCAGGAACTACTATTAATGTAAACTGAAGAAACTGATAGAGGTTAAGAGATAAACGGATCAAGGGTGTTACCCCTTTTTCTAAGGATCATAACATTGCATTTATATTTATGTTTGTTATATGTGTATAAATTAGGAAAAGTAATAAATACCTTTATGAATGAGTAAATGAAATGAGGAAAACAGGACCGTTTAGAGAAGTCCTCAATTTCTTTTATCATCTTCTCTGTTCTGTACTCCTCAGAATAGGTACATGCGTGAAGTTGGGTTGAAGCATCTTTCATGGTCACGAGCTCTGTGGTTGCCTTGTCTAATGAGCATAGAGGCCAACGTGAGTAAGAGTTAAAGTTCATGTCTTTGAGAATTTATTTTCAGGTACTCACTGTATTATTAAAAGTGTGAAATATAATAAGAAATGCCAGCCATCATGAATGATAAATGTGGGGTTTATCTGCTGCGTGATAAGTATTAGTCCACATATGGAACTTTGATGGTCATTCACGAAATAGATATATCAATGTGGCAGATGATCCTACAGGCAGATATAGAATATTCATTGCTCTTATCCTTGGGTGTTTGTGAATCACGGCGTTTTAAGAGTTAATATTAGTGAATTCATGAATTGGGCAGTTACCTTATGCAGATGAGAATGAGGAGGAAGGAGGCCCAGATCTGGACCAATGATGATAGTTGGTGGCGTATGAGTCATGGATGATGAATATTACGTGTCTGAAACTCTGAGGTCCAATAAAAAGAAAGATCATCTCTTGCCTCTTTTTGCCATGATATCATAGACAAATATTAGGAAAAGAAAAGAATAATTTTCTTGTTTTGTGTTTATGAGTTTTGATTTTGCTGTACAAAATAGCCCAAAGCGGTAATCAGTATACAAGTATAAATAAGTTGAAATGAAGAGAGTGAAGCAAGTTTGCTCTTAATATACATGGGTGAGGCGATAAAAGCCATTAGCATATACAGAAAACGCTGCAGTTCATTGAGAAAACGTAAGTGGTTTACATGTCTTACTCTTTGGCTAAGAATGATACAGAGACCACGAAGAACAGCCAAAGTTCCTATTCTGTGTTAGTGTTAGACTTGATACTGTTCATTTTTTAAGAGAAAAATAATAAATATGATCCCAATTCACTGTATTCCTAAAGGACTCACTGAATGTAGATAGGATGTGTGGGTCGATAGAGAGTATCTCAGTCTTGTCGTTTTCTGTTCTGCTTTGTATTATTCCTCAGCATGGATGCACTTGAACTCACTTAGGTGTTTGGCCGTGATCGGATTCTCCATGGATGCCCCTTGCGTGTAAGAGGATGGAGACCAACGTGAGTGACAGTCAGATTCTCCTTCTAGTCTAGGTGTTTTGTACAGGATATTCAGTGTCATATTAAAAATTTGAGGAAGTCCAAACACAGCTCAATGGCAAATATGGCATTGTCATGAAACATGTTAACTAATCAATATTGTCCACAATGAGGATCATTAGTCAAATAACTGTAAAGATTCAATAGGCAGATGCTAGGGATACTTAAGGATCTTGTCCTTGAGTTTTGTGATTCCCAGATACTCATTTTATTATTACTAATTGCTTAATAAATTGACATCAAGCAAATGCAGATGAGAATGAAGAAAAGGAGACCTGAGTGTGGACCCATGATGACAGCTGGTGGCGTATGAGTCACATACGATGACTGCTACGTGTCTGGAAGTCTGAGGTCCACCCAACACAAAAATATCTAGTCAGTTTCCTCTGCTCAAAGTGTTCCCATAGATAGATATCAGGGATATACAATGACTTTGTTCTTATTCATGAGTTTCTAGAAATATTATAAAATACACATTTTATAATAAATATACATTTTATGCAAATGTATATATGAATGAATAAAGATGAAGAAGGTTAAGTATTGTTCATTATTAAAACAAGTTGTGGGAGAAATAGTAGTTTTTCTTCAAATATTTATTTATTTATTTATTTATTTATTTATTTATTATTTATGTTTGTTTATTTTGAGAGAGAGAGAGAGAGAGAGAGAGAGAGAGAGAGAGAGAGAGGAAGAGAGGGGGAGAGAAAGAGCACGCATGAGTGAGCAGGGGAGGGACAGAGAGAGAATCCCAGGCAGGTGGGGCCTGATGCAGGGCTTGAACTCATGAATCACGAGATCATGACCTTAGCTGAATTCAGAAGTCAGATGCCCAACCGACTGAGCCACCCAGGTGGCCCTCAAATTTTTATTTATTTATTTAAAAAAATTTTTTTTTTCCAACGTTTTTATTTATTTTTGGGACAGAGAAAGACAGAGCATGAACGGGGGAGGGGCAGAGAGAGAGGGAGACACAGAATCGGAAACAGGCTCCAGGCTCCGAGCCATCAGCCCAGAGCCTGACGCGGGGCTCGAACTCACGGACCGCGAGATCGTGACCTGGCTGAAGTCGGATGCTTAACCGACTGCGCCACCCAGGCGCCCCTCAAATTTTTATTTAAATTCTAGCTAGTTAACATACAGTGTAATATGTTTCAGGAGTAGAATTTAGTGATAGAAATAATACTACTGTAAGAATGGATAATAAATGGATTCAGTGTATTTAATTAATTAATTAATTTATTTAGAGAAAGAGAGAGACAAAGAGAGAGAAAGCACGAGTTGGGGAGGGGCAGACAGAGAGGGAGAGAGCGAATCCCAAGCAGGCTTCACCATGTCAGTGCAGAGCCCGACTCTGGGGCTCGATCTCAGGAATTGTGAGTTCATGACCTGAGCTGAAATCGAGAATCGGATGCTTCACCGACTGAGCCCCTATTTTATATTTTTGACTAAGGATGACGTAGACAGTGATCAGTGATAGTTAATTATGGAGTCATGGGAATAAAAGGAATATAGTCGATGATACCGTAGTAGTTTTGTGCGGTAGCTACACTTGGGGTGAGCACAGTGTGAGATAGAAAGAAATTGGATCATGTGTTCTGCCCCTGAAACAAATGTAAAGTTGTGTGTTAACTATACTCAAATAAAAAACCATTTCAATGCCGTGATGCAGATATACCTTGAAAACATTACGCTAAGTGATAAAAGGCAGACAGAGAGGGTCACGTCGTGCAAGACTCCACTTATATGAAATATCCCAAACACATGAATCCACAGGGAGAGAATAAGGATTGGTGGTTGCCAGGGCCTGAGATCCAGACGAGTAGGGAGAGACTGCTTAACGCATATGGTATTTTATTTTGGAGTCATGAAAGTATTTTGAAACTAGGTAGAGGTGGTTGGTGGTTACACAATATTGTGAAAATACTAAGTGCTGCTGTTTTGTTAACTTTATTTTTTATTATTATTATCATTTTTAAAGAGTATTTATTTTGAGAGAAAAAGAGAGCGTGAGCAAGGGAAGGGCAGAGAGAGGGAGAGAGAGAATCCTGAGCAGGTTCCATGCCGATGGCATGGGGCTCAATCTCATGAACTGTGAGATCTTGACCTGAGCCAAAATCAAGAGTCAGATGCTTAACCACTGAGCCACCCAGGTGCCTCATGGTTTGGTAACTTTAAATAGCTAATTTTACCTAAATTAAGAAGTGAGACCTTTATAAGAAAAGTCGATTATTAAACTGAGAAACTTAGACGTTTGATGATTATTTTATAGAAGGAAAAAGAATGTTACCATACATTGGTAAATAACTAAATGACTACCTATATGAATGGTGGAAAGTGTGGATCAATGGAAAGGATGTCTCAATCTTGTTATCGCCTTTTCTACTTGGTACTATTCAGAATGGAACCCCAGGCTGATTTTAGCTTCTGCTCTGATCAAGATCGACATGTTGCTTCAGTGTTGGAGAGAGACCAAGGTGCGTACTGGTCAAAGAAGTCATCTTAGATTGGGCCATTTGTTAAAAGGTATACATTGAATTATTAAAAAGTATGGAACATAATTTGAAGAAGTTAACTATGTCCCAGTGAGAAATATGATACAAAACATGATATTGATTCATCAGTGAAGTGCAACATAGAGGCCTGTTAATGAAATTAATGAAATAGAATCAATCTATGTGGGAAATGACTCTACAGAGAGATTTTATTTTATTTTTAAACATTTTTAATGTTTTATTTATTTTTGAGAAAGAGAGAGAGAGAGAGAGAGAGAGAGAGAGAGAGAGCAAGCACGTGTGCAAGGGAGGGAGGGCAGAGAGAGGAAGACATAGAATCCGAAGCCGGCTCCAGGCTCTGAGCTGTCAGCACAGAGCCCGATGCGGGGCTCAAACTCACAAACTGTGAGATCGTGACTTGAGCCAAAGTCAGATGCTTAACCGACAGAGCCATCCAGGTGCCCCGGTTCTCTGGAGAGATTTTAGACATTGGAAAGGATCTTCTTGGGTTTTGGGAATCATGTGTTTATTTTATTATTATTAACGGCTTAATGATTTATTTGATAGCAATGCAGACATGAATGAAGAAAAAGACATCCAAACCAGAGCCACTGATGGCAACTGGTGGCACGTGCATATGGATGGTAAATAATATGTGCCTGGAGTACTAAGGTCCAACACAAGACATAATTAGTCAGATCCCCCTTTTGGACGTGCTCCTGTAGACACGTACTAGAAACATACAAAGATCATGTTCTTACTCTGGTCTTTATCAATTTAGATTTATTATTATAAGTGGATCAATAATAGAACCACTAGTGAAATATAAACAAATAGATAAAGAAAAAGAGAGTGAAGCATTGTCCAGCTGTAAATGTATGTGGTAAGGCAAGAATTGTTACTACAGATTGAAAACACCGATGCCCCTTAAGGAATAAACGTATCAACAGTGTCACCTCTTTGACCAAGGGTCATAAAGACTCGTACGTAAGAGTCAGTTTGAGTTTTTAGGTCAGTCTCGAATCTGAGGTTGTTCCTTTGGTTCACAGAAAGAAAATTAATAAATATCTAAATGATAGGATGAATGAAATGTGGAAAAGAATCGTTTCAGATCAGGTCTCATATATCACATACTCTGTTTTCTATTCCCCAGGATGGGCATACTCAGGCTGGTCGAAGAATTCTTCCATGGTCACAGTCCCTGTGGTTGCACCTGTGTTCCAGGTGTGCATAGCCCAACATGAGTAGTAAAGTTCATGTTTTCATGTGACAGGCTTTAAACATGGGGGTATTTACTGTATTGTTAATACAATGAATAGAATTCAAAAGGCTAGCCATGGCCGATGATAAATATGGAAGTATTACCAAGTATTATGTTTATGAACCCATTTATGATAGACTAAGACTAATGAATGAGAGATATCAATATGATAGATGAATCTATGGACAGATATGGAATATTCAAGGTCCCTTATTCATTTTTGTGGTGAATCTTAGGGTTTTCAAAATTAATATTAGTGAATTCAGCCATTAATGAAATAACATCCAGAAAATGAAGAGGAAGAGACTGAAATATGGACCAGTGATGACGGCTGGTGGCGTAGGAGTCATGGACGATGAATACTACGTGTCTGGAACTCTGAGGTCCAACAGGAAAGGAAATACGGTCTCTTACCTCCGCTTGAAATTCTTCTATGGACTGATTTTAGGAATATAAAGGGACTGTTTTCTTAGATTGTTTTCTTGAATTTTGATTGTTTTACTATCAATGGATCAATTCAAGAATCAAGGTACAGATATTAATAAGTCAAAATGAGGCGCGTGGAGCATATGCACTCAGTATACGTGGTGAGGCAATAGAAGCTATTCAAGTATATTGAATATACTGAATCCCATTAAGGAGAATGAATGGCTCATGGGCCTCACCTCTTTAGTGAACAGTATAGAGAAGTTCTCATTCTGGGTCTATAGCAAGTAGGAGGTTACTCATTTTTTTAATAAAAAAATAATAAACATTATTCTAAATTGGTGTATTTCCAAATGATTGACTCGATGTAACGTGGAATGTGCAGAACGATGGACATCATGTTTCAGTCTTGTTTATACCTACTTTGCTTTGTGCTTCTCAGAAAGAAAACACCTGAGCCGATTTAAGCATCACCATGTTTAGGCACTCCAGGGTAGCCTCTTGTGTGGGAGCATGAAGTCCAACGTGCGTAATCATCAAATTTCTTGTCTTGGTTGGGAGGGTTTGTTCAGGGTGTCACTGGAATTATTTACAAAGTCTTTAATATAAGAAAAAAGGCCAACTATGGCCCAGTGACAAAGTCGAAGCTGTATGAGACATTATGTTGGTCAACCTACCATTACCGCAATGAGGATGGTTAATGAAGAAGGGTATTTAATTAGGCACTGATTCTCAAGAACAATGATAGAAATACTGAAGCCTTTTGTCCTTGCTTTTTGAGATTCATAGATCCTTATGTAGTTACTATGAATAGATTGGTGAAGTAACATAGGAACAAATGGAGGTGAAAAGGACAAAGTGGACCAGTCCTGGACCGATGATGACAGCTGGTGGCGTAGGAGTCCTACACGATGAATGCTACGTGTCTGGAAGTCTGAGGTCCACCACAAAGGGAAATCTAGCCTATTTCCTCTTTTTTCAGATGATCCTATGGTTCGATGTTAGGAATATGCAAAGAAATGGTTCTTGTCATTTTGGATTCATGGATTTCTACATTATTAACCTAAAGGGATCAGTGACAGAACCAATAAAAAAATCTCTAAATAAATAGAGGACGAAGACTTATCCACTGTGAATATATTTGGTGAGGCAAGGAATTCTGTTAATACAAACCAAGGAACCTGATGCAGGCTGAGAAATAAACGGACCAAAGGTGTTAGCTCTTAGATGTTAGCAGGTAGATGCTGACACTGAGAAGCAATGTTGAATTTTGTAAGCCTGGGTCATTCTCAGGTTGTGGGTGTTAATTTTGTGATATATATGCTTATAATTTCATATATATACATGTTGTTAAAAAATAATACCCAGGCAGCTGGAAAGATGAAATGGGGAAAATAAGACTAGTAGAGAAGTTTCAGTTTTTAATTGTCCGCTCTGGGTTACACTCCTCAGAATCAACACATTCCAGCTGATTCAGATTTTTCATGGTCAAAAGGTCTGTGATTTCCTGTGTGTTAGGGCCATGGGGATGAATGTGAGTAAAGGTTACAGTTCTTGTATTTGTTTAAGCAGTTTTTAGTTTCTATTTATTTATTAAAAATTTTTTTTAAATGTTTACTATTTTTGAGAGAGAGACAGAGCACCAGCGGGGGAGGGGCAGAGAGAGAGGGAGACAGAATCCGAAGCAGGCTCTAGGCTCTGAGCTGTCAGCACAGAACCGTTCCAACATGGGGCTCGAACCCATGAACTGTGAGATCAGGACCTGAGCCGAAGTTAGTTGCTCCATGGACTGAGCCACCCGGGCGCCCCAAGCAGTTTTTTTCTTTAAAAAAGGTATTCACTGTATTGTTAAAAGTGTGAAATATAATTTAAAACACTAAACACGGGAACCGATAAATATGGGCTATAACATTTGCTAACGCATATGTGAAGTGTTGATGATGATGATCCTATAGGCAGACGTAGAATATTCACTGCTTTTATTATTGGATCTTTGTGAATCCCAGGGTTTTAAAAATTATCATTAATAGGTTAAGGAATTAGTGAAGTTACATACATGAGAATGAAGAAAAAGAAGCCTAGATCTGGACCAATGATGATAGGTGGTGGCGTATGAGTCATGGATGATGACTATTACATGTCTGAAACTCTGAGGCCCAATTACAAAACCAAATAAAGTCTCTTCTGTGGGAAGCGGTCTTATGTACTGATGTTGGGGGGGGGGGGGACGGGCCCTTTTATTGGTTTATTTTCATGACTTTTGATTCTACTGTAATAAATGGCTAAAAGTACAATCAATCTGTAAGTGTAAATGAGATTAAGAGGGCGAAGCATGTCTAGTCTTTGTAAAAATTAGTAACGTTTATTGAGAATATTGAAGTTTATTAAGAAATGTAAGTGTTTCCAGTGTCTTACCTCTTTGGCTAAGAATGATAGAGACAGTAAATCACAGTCAACATTCTCATTCTTAGTCTGTGTCAAGTTTGATACTGCCTCGTTTGTTTAGAGAAAATAATAAATATGACCCTGATGTACTATATTCCTAAGTGACAGACTAAGTGAAGTTAAAATAGTCACATCAACAGAGTGTCTCTCAATCTTGTTATGTGCTCTGCTTTTTATTCCTCAGGTGGACACACGTGAACTGATTAAGCACTTGGCTGTCAACAGGGGCTCCACTGGTCGTCCTTATGTTGGTGCATGTAGACCAAGGTGAGGACTAGTCAAATCTATCTCTTGGTTTGGGTTGTTTTTTTAGAGCGTTCATTGTAACATTGTGAAATGGTATTAAGTATATTCAAAGAGGCCTAGCCAGTGCTTTGAGGATAAACATGGACTTGATATGCAATGTTCTATTGATTAACAGGTATTTGTATCAGTGAAGATATGTAATGAAGGAGGCATATTCAGTGAGGTGAATGATCCTATAGATAGACATTAGGGACATTAAGGCTCTTGTCCTTGAGTATTTGTGATAGATAGATATTTATTTTATTGTTATCAGTGAATTGATGAATCGAGGAATAAACAAATAAAGACAGAAGGAAGGAAAGGGAAGGTCAAGGCTGGACCACTGATGACCACTGGTGGCGAATGAGTCATATCTGATGTCCATTCCTTTTGTTTGACGTGGTTCAATAGACACTTGTCAAGATTATACAAAGATCTTGTTCTTGGTCCTTGGGTTCGTGAATTTCACAAAATCTTATTATAAAGGAGTAAATAAATGTATAAATTAAAATAAGCAGGAAGAGACTCAAGTAGTGTTCATTCTTAAAATGTATAGTATGGGAAATAATACTAATATGAATTGAAATTGATATTAAATGGATTAAGTGTACTGCATCTTTGACTAAGGCTGATATAGACTATGATAAGTAATCATTACTTCTCTGAGTCAGAACTCTGATGTGTAATTTGTTAAGATGAAAATAACCTAAATGTTACCATTAATAAATAAATACCCAAATGACCATGTATATGACGGCTAGAAATAATGAATCAGTGGAGAGAATGTCTCAGTCTTTTTATCATTTTCTCTGCTGGCTACTCTTCAGAACAGATGCCCCAAGGAGATATCAGCTTCTGTCATGGTAAAGATTGTCAAGAGACCAAGGTGAGTAATGGTCAAAGTTCTAGTCTTCGTTTGGGTCATTTGTTTCCCATCCAAGTACTAACCAGGCCCGACCCTGCTTAGCTTCCGAGATCAGACGAGATCGGGCACGTTCAGGGTGGTATGGCCGTAGACATTGGGTCATTTGTTTAAAGGTATTTATGGTAGTATTAAAATGGAATAAATATAATAAAAATTTATTGATGTCCACATGTAAATATAATATGAAATATTATATTAATTCTTCAATAACGGAATATGTTAAACAATCAACCTTAAAGTTGATTACTCCAAGAGATATAGTTAGTCCATGTGGGAAATGATTCTATGGACTATGATCAGAATATTCAAATATCTTCTTGTTGGGTTTGGAAATCATATATTAATTATATTATTATCAATGAATTAATAGCCTATTCAGTATAAATGTAGAAATGAATGAAGAAAAAGACATTCCAGTATAGACCAATGATCACAACTGGTAGCATGTTAATTAGGAAAAATGAATGTCTGGAGCTCCAAGGTCCAACACAAAACATAGTTAGTTGAGTTCCTTTCTTGGAAATGATACTATAGACAGATACCAGAAATATACAAAAATCATGTTTTTATTTGGGTTCATAGATTTGGATTTTATTATTACTAGTGGATCAATGATGGGACCATTAAACAAATAAAAAATAGAGAAAGAAGAAGAATATTACACATTGCCCAACATGGGTGAGGCAAGAAATATTACTAATAACAATGAAAAAAGACACTGATGCCTCCTAAGAAATGAATGAATCTTTGCCTAAGCATCATATAAACTCTGATAAGTAAGAGTCCGTTGTATTTCCTGGGTTAGTCTCGAGTTTGTTTCCTCTGTTAAGAGAACAAAAATCTACATCATGAACATTTTACAGGTACCTGAATGACTAAGTAAATGAAATGTGGTTCACAAGAGGCAATGGGATAAGGTCCCAGTTTCCTTTATCGTCTGCTCTGCTCTGTACTCCTCGGAATTGATGCACTCATGCTGATACAGGTGCTTCCATGGTTACATGCTTTCTGATTGCATACGTGTGTTTGGAGCATAGAGACCAATGTGAGTAGTGGTTGAAGTGTTTGTCTTTCTAGTGTCCTTTTTTTTTTTTTTTTAAGGTGTTAACTATATATCGTTAAAAAGTACAAATCGTAATCAAGTAGGGGCGACTATGGAATTGATTGTATTCATTAATAGGGGTTGATTGTATTGATTAATGCGTACACGAAAAACACTAATTAATGAGAGCGATACATCGATCCTATTTGTCTCCTATATGAGAGTGAAAATGATCTTACAGACGGATTAGAGATATTAAGCCTCTTTTTGTGTTTTTGTGAATAAGAGGGTCTTGAAATTGTTATTAGTGAATTAATGAATTAGTTGATAAATAACGTACAACTGAATGAAGGAAAAGAGGGACAATAATGGATCGATGATGACCACTGGTGGCGTATGAGTCCTATACGATGAATACATGTCTGGAACTCTGAGGTCCAAATGAAAGGCAATCTAGTCCAGTGCCTTTTGTGAAGCGGTACCATTAGACAGATACCATGAATTTAAAGGGATCATGTTTTGGGTTTATGTTCATGCACTCTCTATTTTTATAATCAGATCAAGGAGATAATCAATAATGTATAAACAAGCAAAGATTAAGGTCATGAAGCATTGTCCAATTACAAAAATGTGTAGTGAGACAAGAAATGCTATTAATATATATTGAAAACACACTCCCATCCACCAATAGTAAATGATACAGAGGTGTTGCCTCTTGGGCTAAGGATTGTATAGCTGTCGTGTTAAATAGTAATTGGCAATGTTCATAATCCATGTCAGCGGCAAGGTCATTATTATTCTTTTATTAGCAGAAATTAAATAAACATTTCTCCCAACTGCAGATTCCCGAAATGACCCACTAAATGAAAGATGGAATGCAAAGACCAGTGGAAATTAGGTGTCTAGCTTTTTGTTATCATCTGCTCTGTTCTCTGTAGAGTGGACGCACTCAAGTTGATTTAAGCATCTTCCATGATCACAAGTTCTATGGCTGCATCTCTGTGTTAGAGAGTGGAAATCAAGAGAAGTAAGAGTCAGTGTTCTCTCAGTTTGGGAGGCTTGTTTAAGGGTATTCACTGTGGTATTAAAAATGTGAAATATAATCAGCGAATGCCAACCATTGCCCCCGAATGCCATTAACGTGAAGCATGGTGTTTATTAATCCATATACAACACATTGAGGTCAGTTAATGAAAGAAATGAATTGCTCGGGGAAATAATTCTATAGACAGATGTTACAGATTAGTTCATGCCAACCGTGCACTAATGATAAAGAGTTTGAAATGAGCATGTTGGCTAATCCATACTCAATACTGAGGTCAGTTAGCAAAGTAGATCTTGACTCTTTTCCCTGTAGAAAATGATTTTATGTTCCGAAGTTAGGGGTATTAAAGCTGTTTTTAATAATCTCATGGGTATTTTTTCTTAGTGAATTAGTGAATTAATCTCTAACAAAATTATAATTCAGTGAAGAAAAAGAGTGATATCTGGACCAATACTGAGGGCCAGTAGCATGTGAGGCAAGGTTGAAGAAGGCTGATCTACAACTTTGCGATCCAATGCAAATCCAGTGCAAAAAGAAATCTAGTCCATTGCTTCTGTGATAAATGGTCCTGTAAGCAGTAGTTAGAGACATTCAAGAATATTATTCTTGGGCTTTTGAGTTTCACAAATATTGACTGCTTATTAAAAATTAATCAATGCAATAATAACTAAAAATGTATGAATGAAGGAAGGGAAAATAAGGCCGAATGTGGAGTAGCTATAGCATATGTAATGAAACTAACATCATTACCAATCCATTTCTAAGGAACAGAAGTCCATTAAAAATGTATGAAGGCGTTTACACCTCATCAGAAGGGATGTGTGGACAGAGGTGTGCAATTGTTGATGTTCACGTTCTGTGCTGTCTTTGGCTTGCAGGTGTTTTTGTTTTCATTTTTTTAATTGAGAAATAGGGGAAGCATGAAAATTTTCTATTTGCAACAACATGGATGGATCTGTAGTGTACTATGCTAAGTGAAATAGGTCAATCAGAGAAAGACAAATACCATATGATCTCATTCATTTGTGGAATTTAAGAAATGAGACAGATGAGCATGGGGGACAAAAACAAAGAGGCAAACTGTAAAACATACTCTTAACTCTAGAGAACAAACTGAGGGTTGCTGGAGGTGAGGTGGGTGGGGAGATAGGCTAAATGGGTGATGGGTATTAAGGAGGGCACCTGTTGGGATGAGCATTGATGTTCTATGTAAGTGATGAATCACTAAACTCTACTCCTGAAACTAATATTACACTATATGTTAACTAATTGGAATTTGTATAAAAACTTGAAAAAAAAAAAAAAAAGAGCCAAGCAAGGGCCAATGGTGTGAATGGAATGCATTCTGAATGTGTCTTGTGGTTAAGTCACTTCTGTACCATTGACGTTCATTTCAAAAGGAGATTTGGTATATTACATCCGCGAGAATAAATCTATAGCTAGACAGTAATTTGGAAGAATCTAATGATGGAATCCTGGGAATTTATTGCATTATTCTAAGGGAATAAATGAACAAAACCAGTAGATGACAGATAGGTAGGTACATAGGTAAATAGATGAAGAGAGTAATTAATGCTGGATTAATTGGGAAAAATGTTGGCAAGGTTGACATTTTTGTTTATACAATTGGGAAACATTGCAGTATATTAAGAAATCAGTAGGTTAAAGGTTAACCCCTCTGGGTTGGCGTACTACAACTCACTTGAGTGAGCACCAAAATCACCTGCAAGAGTGGTTAAACTATAGATTTCCAGTCCCACCCTCAGCATTTCTGCTTTGGCGGGATTCAAGGTGGGGGGAGGGGGGCGATCCAAGGATCTGCATTGCAAATATGTTCGCACACTGATAATGCATCATTTAGAAACAATGGTTTGAGAATCACTGCTTTAAGTCAGATGTATGTAATAGTTAATGCCCTTGCTTTGGATCAGTGGTAAGTACCAGGTTGTTTATTTTATTAAGACAAAAAAGAGAGGAAGACTAAGAAACAGACTCTTAACTACAGAGAACACACTGGTGGTTACCAGGGAGGAGGTGATGGGGGGGGGGTGGGTAAAACAAGTGATGGGGATTAAGGAGTGCTCCTGCAGTGAGCACCCAGTGTGGTAGGGAGGTGTTGAATCACTCAATTCCACACTTGAAACTAAGTAATAATAATAATAATAATAGTAATAATAATAATGAAAAACAATGAGCTAGGTAATAGATACATTAATTAATAAATATCTGAAACTTCAGGTAAATGAAAGGAGAAAGCATGATTCAATGGAGAAAATAGCTCATTCTTTTAACAACATCTTTATGCTCTGCAAACGGATGCACCTGAACTGATTACACATTCTGTGTAGACTCCAATGATGAGGAACCAACGTTTATGATTAATTTTTAAAAAATGTTTACTTATTTATTGTGAGAGAGAGAGAGGGAGAATGAGTGGGGAAGGGGCAGAGAGAGAGAGGAAGAAAGAATCCCAAGCAGGCTCCATGCTGTCAGCACAGAGCCCAATGCAGGACTCGATCTCATGAACCATGAGATCATAACCTGATCTGAAATCAAGAATCAGATGGTTAACCAACTAAGCCACCCGGGTGCCCCTAAAGTTTATGATTACTTTGATTTAGTATTACTTGGGGTGATTTTATTTTATTTTTTAACTTTTTATTTAAATTCCAGCTAGTTAACGTATAGCGTAGTATTAGCTTCAGGGGTACAGCATAGTGATTCAGCACCTCCATATGTCATCCTGGGCTCATCACAACGCGTGCCCTCCTTAATCCTCATCACCTCTTTCTCCCATCCCCCACCCACCTCCCCTACTTGGGATGATTTTAAAAATAGATCAAGGGGCGCCTGGGTGGCTCAGTCGGTTAAGCGTCTGACTTCAGCTCAGGTCACGATCTCGCAGTCCGTGAGTTCGAGCCCCGCGTCGGGCTCTGTGCTGATGGCTCAGAGCCTGGAGCCTGTTTCCGATTCTGTGTCTCTCTCTCTCTGACCTTCCCCCGTTCATGTTCTGTCTCTCTCTGTCTCAAAAATAAATAAAGGTTAAAAAAAAATAAAAAAAAATAGATCAAATCCATGTCATTCCTTTTTATAACTCTTTAAATTTCTATTTCAGTGTCTTCCTAAACACTCCATAACTGATAAAGTCATAAACTATTTTTGTTATGAGGACGAAGCACATAGGAGATGGAAGTAATAGTCAGTGTCTTAGTTCTGATGGGAGTGGTCTAGATATATAAATATGCAAATTACACGAAAAAGGCAAACCATGGACCAATGATGCGAATGGAATGCATTCTGATCTATACCTTACGATCAACACATCTATGATGTACTGAGGTCCTGTGCAAAAAGGGATTGAAGCGTTTATACCTGTGGGAGTGAGCCTATATATAGATTACAGTAATAGTCAAGGATCATGTTCTTAGTCTTTGGTGCTTTGTGGATTTTGCCTTTATTTCTTTTTTTTAATTAAATTTTTTAAAATATTTATTTATTTTTGAGAGAGAGAGAGAGAGAGAGAGTGAGAGAGAGAGAGAGAGAGAGCAGGGGAGGGGCGGAGAGGGACAGAGTCACAGAATCCCAAGCAGGCTCCAGGCTCTGAGCTGTCAGCACAGAGCCTGGCGCGGGGCTTGAACTCAGGAGTGGTGAGATCGTGACCTGAGCCTAAGTCAGGCACTCGACCAACTGAGCCACCCAGGTGCCGCCATTTTGCTTTTATTTTAATCAATAAATGAGGGGAACAAATATGTCAGTGCATAAAGATGAAAAGAGTGAGGCATATCCAACTATGAAAATATGTGGTGAGGCAAGAATTACTATGAATATAGCTTGGAACCACTGGATTTCATTAATAAAGAGATCAAGGGGGTTACATTTTGGGTAGGGAGAGTACAGATGATGATACGTAATAGTATGTGTTCTTGCTTTGAGTTAGTGGTGAGTTCAAGTGGTTCATTTACCAAGAGAAAAAGAAGGAAGTAACACTATAAAATAATAAATACCCAAGTGACTAAGAAAACGAATCAGAAAAGTATGTATTAATGGGAATATTGTCTCAGCATTTTATTATCTGCAGTGATAAGTGGAGGTTACTGAGTCATGTATAAGTTTTATGTTTGATTAATATTAAGAGAAAAATAAATAGATGTTATTATAAGTTAATAAATACCTAAATGACTTTGTATATGAATGGTGGAAAGTCTGATCAATAGAGAGGATGTCTCAATCTTTCTAGCACCTTCTTTGCTTCGTACTTTTCAGAAGGGAGGCTGGAGCTGATTTCTGTTTACGCGCGATCAAGATTATCACCTAGCCTCTGTGTCAGAGAAGAGACTAAAGTGAGTACCAGCCAAGATCTCATTTTCATTCAGGTCATTTGTTTAAGGGCTTGTACAGTATTATTAAAAATTATTACATTAGTAAAAAAGTTGACTATTGTCCAATAACGAATAGGATATAAAACATGTTGATTGATGATGTGCAACACTGAGATTGATTAACAGAAGAAACATAGTCCATGTGGGAAATGGGTGTATAGGCAGATGCTAGGGACATTCAAGCATCTTGCCCTTGAGGTTGTTTTGTAAGCCATCTAATTTTTTAGTATTGTCAGACAACTAATGATGCAATGGATAACAAATATAGACACAAATTAAGAGAAAAAAAAAAAAAGAAAAGAAACCCAAACATGGACCAGGGATGATGGCTGGTGGTATACAAGTCATGGACGGTAAAAATAAGTATCTAAAACTCTGAGATCCAACACAAAACATAATTAGTTCAATCCCTCTTTTGGAAATGATCTTATGGACAGATGTGAGAAATATATAAAGGTCATGTTCTTATTTTGGATTTAAAGATTTAAATTTATTATCATTAGTGGATCAATGTTAGAACCATTTAAGAAATATAAATAGAGAGAGAATGAAGGACTGTCCAATTATGAACGTATGTGGTGAGGCAGGACATATTATTAATAAAAATTAAAAACGTTGATGCCCATTAAGAAATAAATGGATTGTGGGGCACCTGGGTGGCTCAGTCGGTTAAGTGTCCGACTTCAGCTCAGGTCATGATCTTGCAGTTTGTGAGTTCGAGCCCCGTGTCAGGCTCTGTGCTGACAGCTCAGAGCCTGGAGCCTGCTTGGATTCTCTTTCTCTCTCTCTCTCTCCTGCTCCTCTCCCTTGCTCGTGAGCATGCTCTCTCTCTTCAAGATAAAAAATTGAAAAAAAAAAAAGGAAGAAAATGATCAAGGGTATTACGCAGACACAGGTAATTAAAAATCAATTTTTAAATTCTGGATCAGTTACAAGTTCAAGGTTGTTCCCTTTGTTAGTAGAAAAAAACCATATATATGTATATATATATCTATATATATAAATGAAAAATTAACATACTCATAAACATTGAGTAAATGAAATGTGGAAAGGAAAGGTAAGTGTAGATAAGGGCTTACGTTTCTTTATCAACTTCTCTGCTTTGTACTCCTCAGAATGGATGCACTTGGGGTAATGTAAGCATCGTCCATGGCCACGAGCTCTGTGGTTGCATGTATGCATTAGGAGCGTGGAGACCCATGTGAGTAATAGTCAAAGTTCTTGTGTGGCTTTGGGTGGTTTGCTTAAGAATATCCACTGTATGTGAATGAATGTCTTAAGAAACAATTTAGAAGTGAACAGAGAGAAAGCCCGCCAATCCTGGACCGATGATGACGGCTGGTGGCGTATGAGTCATGGATGATGGTGAATAATGTGTGTCTGAAACTCTGAGGTCCAACCGGGCATTCTCTTTGTTTGACAGGATGCTGCAGGCAGAAGTCAGGACTATGCGAAGATCTTGGTTTTGGCCTCTGTGTTTGTTCATGCATTTTCATTCCGTTATTATAATTGGAGGAATGAAAATAAGCAACAAATAGACAAAGATCCATACGGCAAAGCATGCTCTAATTATAAAAATATGTGGTGAGGCAAGAAATAGCATTAATAAATTTGAAAAGAGTGAAGTCCGACAAGGAATAAATGGTTACATGACTGTTAAGTCTTTGGCTAAGGATCATCTAGACAAAATAAATAATAGTCAGTGTTCATTTTCTGGGTCAGGGGCAAGGTCTAAGTTGTTCATTTTCTTTCTTTTTTTTTTTTAACGTTTATTTCAGAGACAGAGACAGGACATGAGCGGGGGAGGGGCAGAGAGAGAGGGAGACCCAGAATCCGAAGCAGGCTCCAGGCTCTGAGATGTCATCACGGAGCCTGATGCGGGGCTTGGACTCACGAACCGTGACATCATGACCTGAGCCGCAGTTGGTTGCTCAACCGACTGAGCCACCCAGGTGGCCCTAAGTTGTTCATTTTCTTAAGAGAAAATGAAATATGTACAGGAGACTCTTCATGAGGGATTGCCTAGGTCACTGAGAAGTGAAATGCAGAAGCAAGGATCAATGACGAGGAGGCTGTAATGTGCTATCATCCTCTCTGCTCTGTACTCCTCAGAATGGACGCACTCAAGGTCATTCACGCGTCTTCAGGTTTAGTAGCTGTGTGCTTTGCATCTGCGTCTTAGGAGCCTGGACGACAATGTGAGTCGTAGTCAATGTGCTTCTCTTAGATTGAATGTTTTGGCTTTTTAAAATTACTGTATTATTAAAAAGTGTTTAAGGTAATCAAGAAGCCCAAACATACCCATATTGCATTATCACTAATGTGAACCAATATGATGTTAACCGATATGGAAAACACTGAGTTCAGTTAATGAAAGAGTTCATTCTCAGTGGAAATGATCTTATCGATACATGTTAAGGCTATTCAAGGATTTTGTGATTTTTATTCTGGTGACTTGTGTTTATTTCTATATTAGGTAGTTAATCAATAAACATACCAATCAACAGATAGAAAAAAGAAGCCAGTCCTGGACCAATAATGATGACTGATGATGGCATAGGAGTCATGTGTGATGAATGCTATGTGTCTGGAACTCTGAGGTCCAACAAAAACAGATCTGTTCCATGTTGTTGAAATGGGCCTATACGGATGTCAGAATATATGAGGGTCTTGTTTTTGGTCTTGGCTTTTATTCGTTCTTATTCTACAAATATAATCAGATCAGTGAAAATAGCAATAAACATATTACAAATAAACAAAGGTGATGGGAGTAAAGCATGGTCTGATTATAAAAATATGTGGTGAGATATGAAGTACAATGAATATATTTTGCAAACATTGATGGTAAATGAAAATAAATGGTACAGGATGTTTCCCTTTTTTCTGAGTATGAGTAGCGGTCCACGTTCATACTCTTTGTCAGCAGCAATATTGATGTTATTTGGTCACTTAAGAGAACGTAAGGTAGATGTGATCACAACTTACTAATTGACCCCATGGCTGAATAAACAAAGGTGGAATTAAGGACCAAGGGAGAGGATGTCTTCATCTTTTTGTTGTTGTTGTTCTTCTGCTCTTTTGTATTCCACAGAATGGATGTGTTCCAGCTGATAGAAGATCATCCATGGTCGGCTGCACTATGTTTTGGGGAGCATGGAGACCAGTGTGAGTAACGTTCTGTGTTCTTCTTGGCTAGACTATTGTTTTAAAAGAGATTTTCACTGTATTATTAAAAAGCATTAAATATAATCATACAAAATGAATGAAATCTTACCATTTGGATTGACATTGATGGGGCTAGAGAGTGTTATGCTAAGCGAAATGTCAGTCCGAGAAAAACAGTTACCATATGATCTCAATCATATGTGGAATTTAAGAAACAAAACAAACATGAAAAGGGGGAGAGAGAGAGAGAGAGAGAGAGAGAGAGAGAGAGAGAGAGGCATACCAAGAAACAGACTCTTAAGTGTAGAGAACAAACTGATGGTTAGCAGAGGAGAGGTGGGCGAAATAGTGGATGGGGATTAAGGAGGGCACCTGTGATGAGCACCGGGTCTTGTATGGAAGTGTTGAATCACTATATTGTACACCTGAAACTGAATGTTACATTCAGTTACACTGAATGTTAACTAAGTGGAATTTATTTATTTTTTATTTTTTATTTTTTAAAATTTTTTTTCAACGTTTATTTATTTTTGGGACAGAGAGAGACAGAGCATGAACGGGGGAGGGGCAGAGAGAGAGGGAGACACAGAATCAGAAACAGGCTCCAGGCTCTGAGCCATCAGCCCAGAGCCTGACGCGGGGCTCGAACTCACGGACCGCGAGATCGTGACCTGGCTGAAGTCGGACGCTTAACCGACTGCGCCACCCAGGCGCCCCAACTAAGTGGAATTTAAATAAATACTTGAAAAGATTATTTAATAAAATCAAAGAAGGTGAGACATACCAGTGTTAAATATCAGATTAATATGAAACACTGTTGATTAGCGCATATATGAAACACTAAACTGAGTTAATGAGAGGAATTAGGTCTCAGTGGAAATGATTGTGTAGATGGATGTTAGAGATACTAAAGAATATTATTCTTGTTTCTTCGTGTGATTTCTTTATATTTCTTTATTAATGAATTAAACTATGAACGAATGTAGGTGGTCATGGAGAAAGAAAGCCAGTCCTGGACCCACCAGTGACAATGGGTGATATATATGAGTCATATATTATGGAGATGTGTCTGGAACTCTGAGGTCCAACACAAATGAAATCTGGTCCAGTCTCCTTTATGAAGGAGATAGATGGATAGATGGATAGATAGAAGGATATAGATGGATGTCAGGAATGTACAAGGATTTTGTTCTTGGTCTTGAGTTCATGAAGCTTTAAAATATTATTATGAAAGTGTCAATGGAATAATAAATAAACATATATAAATGACTAAAGATGGGAACAATGAACCTTTTTTTCATAAGCAAAATAAAATATATACTAAGGAAAATACATATTAGTATAAGGAATGGATAAAAAAGGACTGTGTATATTATGTATTTGACTAAGGGTGATTTAGACAGTGATAGGTAATAATCAGTATGTCTCTCAGTCAGGTATTAGTTTGAAGTTTATTTTATTAAGGAGAAAAAGAAATAAATATTACCAAAAACTAATACATGCTCAAATGACTATGTAAATGAATGGTGGAAACTATGGAGACAATAACTCAATCTTTTATCACATTGTCTGCTTGTCTCATACTTAATCATATCTTCAGAGTTAATTCATTGAGCTGATTTTAGTATCCATGGTGATTAAGACTGTTATGTTACCTTTGTGTTAGAAGAGACACCAAGGTGAATAATTGTCAAAGATCTTACCTTGGTGTGGGTGATTTAAGAGCATTCACAGTATTATCAAAAAGTAATAAATATCATAAAAAAATTAACTATGGCCCAATGACAAATGTGATGTGGAGTATTAATGTTCGTTCATTGATACTGTGCAACTCTGAGGTTGATTAGTGAAAGATATAATCTATGTGTTATATGATTCTACAGATAGAAGTTAGTTAGGTTTATTCAAGGGTCTTTTTCTGTGATTTTATGAATTGCGTATTTATTTTTATTATCAAGGTATTAGCAATTTAATCATCACAAGTGTAGAGACAAATGAAGAGAAAAAGGTCCAAACATAGACCAGTGGTGATGACTGGTGGGGTAGGAATTGTACACGTGAGTGTTACCTGTCTGTAACTCTGAGTCCACATAAAATAAGATGTAGCCTATCTTCTGTTGTAAACGATCCATGGGTCAATGTAGAAATATGCAAAGCTCATATTCTTTTCTTTAAAGATTATTTTATTTATTTTGAGAGAGAGAGAGTGTAGGGGATGGGGGCAGAGAGAGAGGGAGAATCCCAAGCAGGCTGGAGCCTGCTGTCAGCACAGAGCCCAACATGGGGCTCGACCCCATGAACCGTGAGATCATGACCTGAGCCAAAGTCGAACGCTTAACCGACTGAGCCACCCAGTCATTCCACCAAGCGCATCTTCTTATTTTAGATTCATATGTTTAAATTGATTATTATAAATAAACCAACAACCAAACCAGTAAAAATGTAAAATATAGATAAATAAGGTGAAACACTGTCCAGCGAGGAATATATGTGGTGACACGGAAGTCTTGCTAATAAAACTGAAAACATTCCTGCTCTTTAAGCAATAAAAAGAATAAGCATTTTTGCCTTTTTTACTTAAGAATTATATAGGCACTGACAAATAAGAGGCATTTGTATTGTTCTTGGTCAGTGTCAAGTTGAAGCTTTTCTTTAGCTAAAACAAATACCTCATTATGAAAAATTAATGAGCGTCCAAATGAATAAATGAAATGCGTTAGAGAATAATCAGTGGAGATAGGACCTGAAATTTTTTGTTTTCTGCTCTACTTTGCACTCCTTAGAATGGGACCCGTCGAGATTTAAGGATTCTTCCACGATCACGTGATCTCGGGTTGCATTCATGTGTTAGGAACATGGAGACCATGTGAGTAATAGTCAAAGTTTCAGTCTTTGTTTCAGGGTGTTCAGTGCATTATTGAAAACTGCAGAGTATAACTGATGAAATCCAAATAGCCCACTGAGAGAAATGGGATTAGTATGAAGCATTATATTGATTACTGAATATAATAAAAATTGAGGATAATTAATGAAAGTGATATTGACACGAGAATGATTCTAAATAGATCCTAGGGATTTCTAGGCTCTTTGTGGGTTTCTGCGAATAAGTATTTTTAAAATTGTGATTACTGAATTATGAATTTATAAATAAATAATGTAGAAACAAATGGTGACAAACAGGGGCAATATTGGATCGATGATGACCACTGGTGGCGTATGAGTCGTATACGATGAATACGTGTCTGGAACTCTGAGGTCCAAAACAGATGAAATCTAGTTCATTGTCCCCATTTTATGCTGTCTAGAGGCAAAGATCAGGAATATATAAAGATCGTGGTTTTGGTCATTATGTCCATGAATTTTCATCATTGGATCAATGAAATGATTAATACACAAATGTGTAAACAGATTTAAATGAAGAATATGAAGCCTTGTCCAGTTATGAAAATATGTGGCGAGGCAAAAATTACTATAATATAGTAATAATTCATTATATTGCAAAAACTGGTATCCATTAGGAAAGAGATGCTATGAGGGTGTTACCTCTTTGGCTAAAGTTGATGGCAAGCGTTAAGTGATAGTGTTTATTTTCTTTGGCATGGACAAGATTGATATGGTTTGTTTACTTAATAGAAAATGAAATATATGTTGTCCCAAACCACTACCTACCTAAATGACTGACTGAAAGTTGGAACACAGGGATGAATGAACACAAGGTCTCAATCTTTTTATCATCCGCTCTGTCTTGTACCCCTTAGAATGGTCGCACTCGGCTGAATTAGACTTTCCACCATAGTCATGAGCCCTGTTCGCCTGTATGTGTTAAGAGCATGGATCACAACGTGAGTAATAGTCAAAACTCTTTTCTTGGTTTTGTGGTTTTTCAAAAAGGCTTTCACTGCCTTATTAAAAAGTTATGAAAAATAATTTATGATTGCCGGCATTGGCAAATAATTAGAATGAGGTTACTGTGAAGCATTATGTTAATTAATCTATGTAGGAAACATTGAGGTCAATTAATGAACGGTATACATTGTCAGTGAGAATTCTGTAGACAATATTTGAGATATTCAAGGGACCTATATCGAGTTTTTACGACCCCTCCCTAGGTATTGTTTGATTATTATTAGTGAACTGATGAAATAATCAATAAACTATGTAGACATGATTGAAGATAATCAGGGACATACCTGGATAAATGACAGCAGGTGTTGACATATGAGTCTTTGATGATGAACCCTGCAGGTCTGGAACTCTGAGGTCCAGTACAGAAGAAATCCAGTCCTTCCCTCCCATGCCCCCCGCCTCATTTGCAGTGATCCTTTAGAGAGATGTCAGGCATAAGTGAGTTCATGTTCTTGGTCTTTGTGTACATGAACGTTTAAACATACCATTATAAAAAATAAATAGGATTAATAACATATAAACGAATAAATATGAAGAGGGCGAAGCATGGTCCATTGCCAAAATATATAATAGGTAAAATGTTAATGTAAGTCAGAATGGAAAATAAAAGATTCATGTGTCTATGTCTGAGTAAGAAGGATGTGGATAATGGAAAGGAATAGTTACTGAGTCAGTTATGGTTTCAACAGTTGATTTATTAAGGGAAAAATCACAACAATGTCATCAATGCCGAAATGGTACGAGCAAGGAGTTGGGGATATATGAATCAATGGAGAGAATATCTCGATATTTTTGTCATCTTGTCTGCTTGTCACTCTTCAGAACAGATGCTTGAACTGATTTCAGCTTCTGCTGTGATCAAGGTTGTCATGCTTCCTTTGAGTATGGAAAGAGGTGAAGGCCAACATGGTCAAAGTGGCTATCTTGGAATGGGACATTTGTTTAAGGGTAATCAGGGTATCATGGAAGAGTACGAAATTAATAAAAAGTTATCCATGGCCTCATGATAAATGTGGTAGGAAACACCGTGTTAATCAATAAAAAATGTACAGGATGGAGGTTGATTGAGACAAGAGTTAACAGTCCATTTGGATAATGATTCTGTAAACTGATGTTAGGGATATTCAAGGATCTTATTTTTGGCTTTTTGTGAACCATGTATTATTTTTATAATTATCAATGAAGTAATTATTTAATTTGTAAAAAGTAGAAATAAAGTAAGAAGCGACTCAGTCGTGGACCAATGATGGCCAGTGGCGTAGGAGTCACGGACAATGAAACTATATGTCTGAAACTCTGAGGTCCAACACAGAACATAATAATTTGGTCTGTTCCTTCTGTTGAAATTGTTCTCCACAGAGAGATGTCAGGAGTAAAATCGTATTCCTGTAATTTTTCATAGCTACAGATTTGTTATTATTAATGGATCAATGATAGAAACCATCAAGCAGGTATAAATAAACATATAAGGAAGAGTAGGGTGAGGAATTGTCCAAAGACAAACACATGTGGCAAGGCAGATGATATTATTACTAAAAGTTGAAAACACTGATGCCCATTAAATAAATAGATAAAAAGGTCATCTCTTTGAGCACGGTTATATAGACAGTTGCTTTACTTCTTCCTCAGACTGAAGATTGAGTTTTTGTAAGATGAAAATATATAGAAAGAAAAAATAATAAATACTTAAATACTGGGTAAATGAAATATAGAAAGCAAGGATCAATCCAGATTATGTTCCAGTTTTCCTTATCATCTGCTCTGTTCTGCACGCCTCAGAATGAACTCCCTAGGGATGATGCTCCATGGGCATACGTTCGCCTCTGTGTAATAGGGAGGATGGAGAGTAATGTAAGTAATAGTTGAAGTTTTTTTCTCAGTTTAAGTGGGTTTAAGGTTATTCACTGTATTATTAAAAAGTGTAAACTATAATTAAGGAAGGCAGCTGTATCTCAGTGTTAAATATGGGATGTATGAAACACATTGATTAATGCACATAGGAAAAGCTGAGGATATTAATGAGAGAGCTATATTGAGGTGAGATTAATTCTATATTTAGATTTGAGACTTCAAGTCTCTTTTTTAAAATTGTACTGCTTAAAAATTATTAGTGAATTCATGAATTCACTAATTAGTGAGTTAGTGAATTATTTGATCAATAAACAAATACGAATCTATGTAGGAAAAAAGGGACAATATTGGATCAATGATGACCACTGGTGGCGTATGAGTCGTTCGCGATGAATACGTGTCTGGAACTCTGAGGTCCAACAGAAAATTGGTGTAGGCCATTCCTATTGTTTGAAGGCATCCTATGGACAGATTTCAGGAATAAATAAAGGGTTTATTTTTGGTCTTGGTATTCATGTATTTTTGTTTTATTATTATAATTGGATAAATGTGAGAATCAATAAATACATAAATAAACAAATGAATAGCGTGAAGCATTGTCCAATTGTAAAAATATGTGGTGAGGCAAGGAATACTATTAATATTTTATGGAAACCTTGAAGTTTCATTAGAAATAAATGGCATTTGACTGTTGCCTCTTAGGGTAAGGATGATGTAGACAGTGTAAGTTATATAGACAGTGTTCGTATTCTGTCTTAGTGGTAGGATCCAAGTTGTTTGTTTTCTTAGCAGACTAAATATATACACTAAATTGATGATTGCCTAAATAACTATGTGAATGTTGAAGCAGAGCTCCATGGAGAGAATGTCTCAACCATTTTATCACCTGCTTTGCTTTGTACTCCTTAGAAGAGACACACGGAACCTGATTTAAAGATTCTTCCTTGATCTCGAACTGCAGGGTTGCATCACCTGTTTTAAGAGGCTGGAGACCAGTGTAAGCGTAAACAAATTTCTCTGTGTTGATTTGGGTTGTTTGTCTAAGGGTATTTAGTCATGAAATCGTTGAAATATAATCAGAGAAGGCCATCTTGATCCTTACTGATAAATAAGAGATTTATGGGAAATATGATCTAGATTAATGCATGTATGAAAAACTGATACGTGACTGAGATGTAATGATATGAAAATGGCTCTAGAAGCATATTAGGGATATCAAAGCCTTTTCGGCGTTTGTCAATAATAGAGGTTAATAATTATAATTAGAGAATTAATAAATTAATAAACAGGATAGAAATAAATGAAGAGAAAGTGGTCTTTTCTGGATCAATGATGGTAACTGCCAGTGTATGAGTCCCAGGTGACGAGTAATACGTGTGGTCCAATACAAGAACAATGTGGTCTTTCTCTTCATTCATTTTCACTTCTTATTATAATTGAACCATGAAAGAAGCAATAAACAAATATATGGATCAATTGAGAGAAAGTCTCAATTTTTTTTTATCACTTCTGTTTGGTACTTTTCCGAATAGAAGCTCAAGGTGATTTCAGCCTCTCTTGTGATCAAGGTCACCATGTTTCCCTTCTCTAGGAAAGAGCCCAAGGCGAGTAATAGTTAAAGTTCTTTTCTTGGTGTGGGTCATGTGTTTAAGGGCTTTCGTGGTGTTACTCAAACATAATAAATACAGTGAAAAATTAACCATGGCTCAATGATAAATATGATTTGAGACATTACGTTGATTAATCGATAACATGTAACATTGCTACTTATTAATGAAAGAGGTATCTATTTTGGCAATAATTCTATAGGGAGAAGTTAGGGATTTTCAAGTATCATGTTCTTTGGTTTTTATTTTTATTTTTATTTTTTTTTATAAATTTTTTTTTCAACGTTTATTTATTTTTGGGACAGAGAGAGACAGAGCATGAACGGGGGAGGGGCAGAGAGAGAGGGAGATACAGAATCGGAAACAGGCTCCAGGCTCTGAGCCATCAGCCCAGAGCCCGACGCGGGGCTCAAACTCACGGACCGTGAGATCGTGACCTGGCTGAAGTCGGATGCTTAACCGACTGCGCCACCCAGGCGCCCCTCTTTGGTTTTTATTAATCGTGGGTGTATTTTATTATTCCCAGTGGAGGTATGACTTAATTGATACAGATATAAAAATGAATAAACTAAAAGTGGCCTCTAAGGGAACCAGTGGTGATCACGGGTCATGGACGGTGGATAGTAGGTGTCCGGAACCCTGAGGTTCAATACAATAAATATTCTGTTTTCTCTATTGATCGTATGGGTAGATGTTAGGAAGTATAAAGATCATGTTCTTATTTTGGATGAATACGTTTAGATGTGTTGTTATGAATGGACCAATGATAGAACCACTAAAGGAAATATAAATAATAGAGTAAGAAGAAAAGGCAAATTATTGTCTCATTAGGAACGTAACATGGTGAAGCAAGAAATACTAACAAAATTTGCAAACACTGATGCCCATTATGAAATAGATGTTTCCAGGGTGTCTCTTCTTTTGCCAAAGATTCTATAGATATGAATAATTAAGAGTCAGTTTTATTATTCTGGATCAGTGTCAAGTTTGAAGGTTTCCTTTTTGTTAAGAGAAAAAATCTACATTATGAAAGATTTATAAATTCCTAAATGAGTAAGTTCAATGTGGAAAGCAAGAATCAGTGGGAATAAAAATGTCATCACTTTTTTCTGTCATCACTGTGATTTGTACTTCTCAGAATGGACACATTCAAGCTAATCAGGCATTCCTCCCTGGTTGGTGAGCTTGGTGACAGCATCTGTGTGTCAGAAGCACAGAGATGGATGTGAGTAATGGGCAAATTTCTTGTCTTTGTTTCAGTGATTTCTTTTTCAGCACGTTCAGTGTATTATTCGAAAATTCCATATAGAATCACAGAAGGCCAATTGTGGCTCTGTGATAAATACTGAATTTTATAAAACAATATATTGATTAATGCATGTATGGAAAACTGATGATGAAGGAAAAGTGAGACTAAGTCTGTGTTCAGTTTAAGGACACAAAGGCTCATTTCAGTTTTTGTGAATAATAGGATTTTAAGTTATTAGCAAACCAATGATTTAATCAAAATACAAAGAGAGTATCACAAAGAGAAGAGGGACAATATTGGATCGATGATGACCACTGGTGGCGTATGAGTCGTATACGATGAATACGTGGAACTCTGAGGTCCAAGAGAAAATTAATCTAGTACATTCCCGTTATTTGAAGGCATCCAATAGACAGGTGTCAGGAATACACTAAGATCTTGTTTTTGGTCTTGGTGTTTGTGCATTTATATGTATTGCTATAATTCGATACATAGATTCTATAAATATTCTAGAAATATCTAAATAAAAATGATGAATGAAGTGAAGCATTGTCTAATTATAAAAATATGTGATTAAAAATAAAAATATGTGGTTAGGCAAGAAATACTATTATCAGACTCTGAAAACCCTGAAGTTCGATTAGAAGCAAGTTGTACAAGACTGTTACCTGGAGAGCTAAGGGTGATACAGACAGGAGGAGTTACAGACAATGCTCATAGTCTGGGTCAGTGGGTTTGTTTTCTTAAAGGAAAAAATATATATACACCAAATTAATGATTGCCCAAATGTCTGACTACGTGTGAGGGAAAGGCCAAGACCAATGGAAATAATGTCTCAACCTTTCTTATGATTTGCTCTGCCTTGAACTCCTCAGAAACAGGCACGCTGCACCTGATGTAAGGATCCTTCCCTGATCAGGAGCTCTAGGATTGCTCTGGAAGGAGTAGGAAGATCAGTGTGAGTAGAATCAAAATTCTTGTCTCGTTTGGGTGGTGCGTCTAAGGGTATTCACGGGAGCAATGGAAAAATATGAAACATACTCAAAGACCATGAACTGTGTTCTGGTGACAAATATGGGGTTAAAATGAAGTATTATACTGATTTAAAGCATTTATGAAAAACTGATAATAAATATGACAGATATAATAATGTGGGAATGGTTCCAGATACATTATTAGGGCAATAATAGGGAAAAGACTGTTTGGAGTTTTGGTGAATCAGACAGTTTTAAAATGATAATTAATGACTTGATCAATAAGCAATATAGAAATGAATGAAGAGAAAGTGGTCTTTTCTGGATCAGTGATGATAACTGCCAGCGTATGAGTCGTGGATGATGAAGGATACGTGTCTGGAACTCTGAGGTCCAAGGGATGTGGTCTTTCTCTTCATGAATTTTCACTATTATTATGGGATCGATGAAATATCAGTGAGGAAATATATAGAAAATAACATAAGTTGTGGTAACCTTGCCCTATTTTAAAAATACGTGGGGAGGCAAGAATTACTATTGGTATAATTTGAAAACGCTGAAGTCCAAAGAGAAATAAACAGTATGTGACTGTCACCCTTTTGGCTAGGATGATACAGACAGGACAAACAATAGGCAACGTTTACATGGTAGGTCAGTGGGAAGTTCGAAGTGGTTTGCTTTTATGAAAGATAACGAAATAAATATGCTCCAAGAATGATTTCATAAGTGGCCGACTAAATGAAGATTGTAGAGCAAGGATCAGTGGAAGAATGTCTCATCTGTTATCATGTTCTCTGTTCAGTACTCTTCAGAACGGATGCTCTAGCTGATTTCAGCTTCTGCCCTGATGAAGAAACATTGTTGTGTGGCCTGGGTCTTAGGAGGGTAAGCCAAGGTGAGTAGCAAGAGATTTTGTCTTGGTGTGGGTCATTTCCCTTAGGGTATTCACAGTGTTATTAAAAATTCATAAATAGCATCAAAAAGTAAGATGTTGCCCAATGGTAAACACAGCTAGGAAACATTCCGATTAAGTGATGATACGTAACATGGAGATTGACTGATGAGAGAGAGTTAATCTATGTTGGCATTTATTCTATAGATAGAAGTTAGGGAATTCAACCTGCTGATTCTTCAGTTTTTGTTAATGATGTATTTTGCTATAATCGATGAGTTAATGATGTAACTGGTATAAATGTCGAAATGAATGAAGAAAAAGTGGGTCTTTTATGTACCTGTGATAATGACTGGTGGCAGATGAGTTAGGGACGCTGAATGAGGTCCAGGTCAATACGTAGTCTTTCTCTCTGTTTATTTGATCCTAAGGACACATTTTTGGATAGTACAAAGAATGTTTTTACTGGGTTCATAGATTTAGATGTATTATTAGAAATAGATCAGTAATAGAACCATTGAAGATGTAGAAACAGCAGATAAATACAAAAACGTGAGGCCTTGTCCAACTTTCAAGACCTGTTTTTAGGCAAGAAATATTAATAAAAATTGTGAACACTGACACCCGTTAAGAATTAAATGGATCAAGAGTGTCACTTCTTTGGCCAAGGGTCATTTAGACATTAGCAATTTAGAGTCCATTTTATTGTTCTTGATCCATCTCAAGTTTGAGGATTTTTGGTGCTGTTGTTGTTAAAAGAAAAAAAAACAATGTTATGAAATATTCATAAATATCTGAACGACTGAGTAAATGAAATGTGGAAAGCAAGCATCAATGTAAGTAAATGTTTTGTTTTATTTTATTTTTTATCACCAACTCTGCTTTTCATTTCTCAAAATGGACACACCTCGAGCTGATTTAAGCAATATTCTGTGGCGGTGACCTCTGTGGTTGCATGTTTGTGTTAGAAGCACAGAGAACCATGTGAGTAATATCAGATTTCGTGTCTTAGTTTCAGTGATTTTTTTCCAGTGTATTCAGTGCATTATTTCAAAGTTCTATGTAGTAGAATCACAGAAAGCCAACTATAGCTCAGTGACAAATACTGAATTTTATGAAAACATTATATTGATTAATGCATGAATGACTAACAGCCTAATTTTAAAAAGATATATATTGATGTGAGGATGATTCTATTTACAGATTAAGGATATCATGATTTTCTTGGGCTTTTGTGAATGAGGGTTTTAAAGTTATTAGTAGTGAATTAATGAATTAGCCGATAAACAATATAGAACTGAATGAAAGGAAAGAGGGGCACTACTGGATCGATGATGACCACTGGTGGCGTATGAGTCGTTTACGATGAATACGTGTCTGGAACTCTGAGGTCCAACAGAAATGGAATCTGGTTTATTGTCCTGTTGGAGGTGATGGAATAGATAGATATTAAGAACATACAAGGGTCTTGTTTTGGGTTCTTATGTTCCTGCATTTTGTTTCAATTTTTATAATTGGATCAATGAAATAATCTATAAACAAACACATAAA